ACCACACGCCTGCGCCCATGCCTGAGGAGCCACAGACTCCTCCCTCCCTGGGGCCCCGCCCGTCGACAGAGTACTTGTTTGGTCTCGGCTTGCTCCACCACACCTCGGAGGTTGTCAGCCAAATGCGCCACCAGGTCGAGGTGGCGGAGGACATTATTGACAAGATTAGGCTTGATTACCACGTACGCGATGTCGAGTTGGTGCGTGACTTCGCTCTACGGCCCCACCTTGCCGCCATCCAGCCGCCACGGCTGCCGGAGGTGGCGTTCTTGCTCCCGGTGACGGCGCAGCCGGCGCTCACCACCGCCGAGGTGATTGAGCGGGTTGAGGGCGCCAAAACCCGCAACGCCACCGGTAGCGACCGCCGCGACGCCCACCAGGACGCGTTGGCCGCCGCGGTGTACCCGATCCTCTTTGCGGCGTGCGAGAACGACTACAGTCTCATGCTGGGGGCCACCGTCGCCTACATGCGCCACGTCATCACCCGCGGCGCCGGGGTGTGCATTCGGGACATGTTGGGCGACAAGCTCGATAACATCTCCCCATATATTCTCCAGGGCACCGTCGTGGACGATTTGGTGCCGCTACAACGCCTGTTCCGGCGGTTCTTGGACGCCGCCATCGGCATGGGCCGCCAGCGCCAGACTCTGGGCGCCAATGTCAACGTTTTGAGGGAACGAGGCAACAACCAGATGGCGGTTCAGGCGTACGCCGCCGCCATCGCTCTGTATACCCAGGCGCTCACCGTGTGTGACCAAGCACAGTTGCTCCCCCAGCTCTACACCAACCGCGCCATTGCCTTGATTGGCCTCAACGCCTTCGCCGAAGCCGTGGGTGACTTGAACCAAGCGGTGCAACACGATTGGCTGTTTGTCCCCGCGTGGGCGCAGTTAGGCTACTGCCATCTCTACTTGGGGCTGCTGATCATTGCCCTCAAGCTGTACTTGATGGCGCTCCGCGCCATCGTCGGCGAACAGCTCCCCGAGCTGCTTGTCGGTGGCGATGCCGACGTCATCATCGCCTACCAGCGGCTGCGCTTCCATGCGGTGATGCCGCAGTTTGTCCAGCGCTTAGCTACGGCCATCTCACTCACTGAACGGCGTGCTCACCAACAGGGCGAGTCGGCAGATACGGTAAGGGCGATCGTGCTGGAAGTGCGGGCGATATTAAGCCGATTGCGAGCGGCTACCGACTCTGAGGACGAGCGCCAGCGGTATTACGCCTACCAGCCGCTGCTACGTTTAGGGCTTCTCAGTGTTAGAGACGGTGCCCGCAGCCGTGCTGACGGCTTCCGTGACCTGGCGCTGCGTGAGCGGGACATGGCAGAGGTCTCGAACCGGCGCTGGCCCCAGATTCTAACCCCAGAAGTCCACCAGGACGTCATGTCCGACCCGCCGCAAGCGGTGCCATTTGAACGCATTCGCCGCAACCAGGAGCTGACGACGCAAATCGCTACCGAGACCGCCACCGCCACCGGCCGTCTGGCTCCATCGCGAGCAGCACAGGCAGCAGCCCTGGCGGCGGCGCTGGCGGCGGTGCTGGTATCGGGCCTGGGGTTCTCTCGTGACTCCGATGAGTTATCGCTGCCGGAGATCTCCCGCGAAAACAGTCGTCGCCACCGGTGGCGAAGAACCAGCGGTTCTGCGCGCGATGGTAACGTTCCGGTTGATTTGGGCCTCCCCTCATTGCGGTTGCTGCTGACGCCGTCTACGCAAGTGGACACGGCACTGGTGCTGCGGCCGCCGACGTCGCGTTACGAGTACGTCCCCTACGAGGCAGATTCCCTTCGCCTGAGCGATATCCCTCTGCGGTTGCCGCTGCAGCTGCTGCAGCTGACGCCCTCCACCCAATTGGACACGGCGCTGGCTCCCAGAGGGTCAATGACATCACGATTGGCGCCGGACTTCGGTAGCGATGCCCCTCTTGAATTAGGCACGCGGCGCCCCCTTGGACGCTTTACTGGCATCGGCTTCACCCCAGCGCCGCCGTTGCGTACTCGTAGTCGTGATAACGACGTTGGGACAAGGCTCGACTCACTGGGGGAGGCGACGCGAACGCCACCACCACCAGCAGCACTGCGTGACGATAACGGCGGGCCCCTGGTGCCGGCACCGGCGCCGCTGACGCTGACGCTGACGGCGATGTCGGCGGAGTTTGTGCCGCACCCCTCGCGGTCGCTGTTGATTGAATTGATGAACGAGTTTGGCGAGCTCGTCGAGGAGCGGGCGCGTTCCCACGAACCGTCAGGGCGGTCGCGAGATATCCGGTTTAGTGAGGTGATTCGCGGGGTGATGGCGCAGTTCCCGTTCTCACCGACACGTGAAGACCGTCTCCACCTCGGCGATAGCAGCGACAGTGAAGCCAGCCGGCTGCCCTCTCCCCTAGGCGACTTGGACTAGCCCTGTATGTAGCATTCAATACTAGAATAGCATGAACTATTCTCTGAGCTACTCAACTGTAATATATCTCTAGTTGGCACTGTGAAGCGCATCTACTATGAGAATATGAGAGACTCAATGGCTCATCTATGAAACTCAATATTGTGGTGATATTACTATAATGTATTTGATCGAAAGTAGCTGGATTGGTTGAATAGCAATCGCGTGTTCAATGATGCTGGCATTCAACGATTATCATGCTAACCTGACTTTTTGCAGTACCATTGGTACCATTAATTTTGGTATTCCCGCATTTGCGTAAATATAGTGAAAAGTACACAAAACTGAACTCCACTAGACAGTCACAATAGTTAAGCGTTTATAATTAAAGCAATGCTAATATATACAAATTTACTGGGCAGCTTCTTTTTCCAAGCCCCGCACACACTTATACATCAACGCCTTCTCTTCGTCCAGAGCGAAACCCGACGTCGCCCACCGGATCTTACCCTCGTTATCCAACACGTACACGTATCCCGAACACATGTTATCGCACAAGAGCTTTTGGCGGATGTCAAAGGGGAAAATATGGTCAGGCAACACGAAGTAGCGGTCCCATCTCTCAGGGGATAATGTCTTGCGGATGTGGCCTTTCAGAAGGTTGATCACGAACCCCTTGAGCCAGTTCTGCGGGATGTTGATGTCAATGATCTGTGCCTGCGGGTAGTCCAGCTTGAACTTGGCGTAGTCGTGGAGATAGTCACCGAACCAGGTATTGCAACAGTTTTCACCGGAAACGGTGGAGTATACCCGAACAAGATTTACCGGGCCCAACACGTCAAACAAGCTAGTATTCCCAGCCAACGTCAGTCCGTAGAAGTCGGGGAAATAGAGCGAATGGTCGCGTTTGAACCACAGCACCGGTGGAGTGAAAATCTTGCCGTTGACGTTGCGGAAACTCTTCAGCTCGTAGAAGGGAGAGTGGGCAATCTCGTGGTCCAACTTCTTTTGGCGTTGTTCCTTGCGTTCGTTAGAAAATAAGCTGCCGACCGAGTAGGACGTGGTTACCTTCCGGTTGAGTAATACGGGCAGATCGAGGCCAAAGGGGCGGGTAACAGGGATCAGCTTCTCGAGCGGGGGTTTGGCTGCCTCGGTAAGGGTGACGACAAACCGCGGTGCCTTATAAAGGCCCGGCAGCGTGTGGAGGGCTCGCAAGCTTCGTAGTGACATAGGGCGCGAGATGGATACTGTGGACACAAATGCGGAGACCTACTTGGCGGTGGAAGTTCAAAGAAATCAAATGATTTTGGATTGTGTGCTGATTTAAATCATCAGTTCCGTTCACTTTGAAGACTGAAGGAACTAGTTTTATGGATTTGACACGAAATCAGATCTAGCTTCCTAATGCGCCATGGGTGAGTCAATGTAACTACCAATATCCATAGTAAACGTACGACAACTAGCGATCTCATCATTGTTTAAACAACCCATCAGTTACCATGGACTACCTTCCACTTTTTAAATTACTAGTGGATTACCAGTACTATTAGTGCTCACTTAGACCTTTGGTCACCACTACCAACGCAAAAACGTGACCACCATACACTGGACTCCCTCAGTCTACTCCAATACTCGTAATTACAATCAATCACCACAAAACCCATTCCTTATCTTCAATACACCCTTCAACACCGTATACTACCTTTCTCGACAACGTGCTGGAGGTAGCCACCCTTATTTGTCGGCGCGCGCTTCTTTTTCACCATATGTCGATTCCACTCATCAACGGGTTGGCCCACCAGCTGGTGGACCATGTGATGGAGGATTTGCTCGTGCGGTTCCTTGTCAATTGTCCCGATGAGGACTTGAGTCTGATTGAACGAGTGTTTTTCCAGGTGGAAGAGGCGCAGTGGTTCTACACCGATTTCCTCAAACAGCTCAACCCCAAGCTCCCCCCAATGAAAATGAAGCAGTTTGCCGGCAAATTCCTCGAGAAGGCGCCGTTAATTTGGAAGTGGGGAGACCCCGGCGACGCGTTGGGCCGGTTTGGCCGCTATAAGCTGACGATCCCCGTGCGTGGGGTCGCCTGCTTCAACGAGGACTTTTCTAAGGTGTTATTGGTTAAAGGGACCGATTCCCACTCGTGGTCGTTCCCCAGAGGTAAAATATCCAAGGGGGAATCGGATATGGACTGTGCTGTTCGAGAAGGGGAAGAAGAGATTGGCTATAACGTTCGTGGTCACATCGACGAAAACGACGTCGTCGAACGCAATATCCGGGGGAAAAACTACAAGATCTACATGGCACTGAATGTACCTGAGGACTTTCCTTTTGCCCCAAAAGCTCGTAACGAGATCTCCCAGATTAAGTGGTTTGACGTTAAGTCGTTGGCGAGAAAGGTGAAACAGCACCCTAACCAGTATTTCATCGTCGAGACGATGATTAAACCGTTACTCAAATGGGTTAACATCCAGAAGGGTACGGCACAAGACCTCGACAAGATGTACGCTGCCGAACAGGCGCTTAAGGAGCTCTTGGGGCTCACCCTACCGGCGCTGCAAGCGCCTAAAGCCGACCACGACGCCGGCAGAGAGTTGCTCAACATCTTACAAAAACAACCAGCCATCCCTCAACAGCACCAGCAGCAACAGCCACAAACTGCCTCACAAGCACCGCATCTGGCACCTCCTCAGCAGCCGATGATCCAGATCCCTCACTACGTGTACCAGCCCGTACAACAGTATTTGCCGTCACCGATGCAGTTCCCGCCCATGCCCTTCCCTGGCCAAGTGGCCCCTCAGCCTCCCCAAGGCGTTCCTCAAGGTCCTCCTGGTATATCGGGCCCTCCTCAACAACAACACAACCCTCAGCAGATGCCTGCGCCGCAAATGGCGGCTCCCAACCCCAACCTGTTTAACAAGCCGCAAATGGAGCTGAAGGAACTCCTCCTGATCCTTAACAGTGCCAACAAACCAGCAAAAAGCCCTCGGGATCTCCCCGCGGCGTCGACTCTGGCGCTGGAGTCTAACCGCTCTAAGGCCAACGAGCTTTTGCTGCTATTTAAAAAGCCGGCAACCGACGACTTGGCCACCGCCTCTCCCGCTGCGCTGGCACGCCTGGTGCTGCCGCTGGCGCTGCTGGTGCCGCTGGTGGCGGCCACTGGTTCTCGCCGGGCCGAGTCTCCTGGTGGCGATCTCCTCCTGATTCTCCACCGCAAACAACAACCACAACCCAAACCCCAATCGCCGTTGTCGCTGCTGCCGCAAACGCCGCAGTTCCAGCCGTCCAATGTGCTCGAGCAGTCACTTACGCTGTCGCAGCAACCACAACCGAAAAAGGTCACAATCCTCAAGCGATCATCGGATAATAAGAACGCCAACGACTTGTTGCTGTTATTGAAGCCTAAGGAAAAAGCCACCGAGTCTCTGCTGGTGGCTGAACACCCTGAAGCTCCCGTCTCCTCCGTTCCCTCCGTATCCACTGCTCCCTCAGTACTGGCATCTCAGGACCTTCTTGGGCTTCTTCAAAAGCCAAAAGCGACTGCCACCACTGACAAATCCCAATCGGAAGTGCTGAAATCGCCGTCGCTGAACGCGGCGTCGCAGGAGCTTCTCGGCATGCTCAAGCCGAAACCGGCTCCGCTGGTGACGTCGCTGCCTGCGCAAGACCTTCTCGGTATGCTTAAACCGACGCCGACAAGTGCCGCCAGTGAACAACCGCCTCAGCCTACTCCTCAGACTGCTTCTCAAGCCAACCCTCACCCTACCCAATCCACGCAAAAGCCTGAGGGCCAATTTGAAGATTTCGAAGACTTTGAGGACTTTGAAGACTTTGGCCACATCAACAACCAGTTCACCCAGCAGTTCCATAACTTCGATATCGAGTCCGACGAGGAAGACGTCGACCACTTGTTGGATCAACAGAACAATAAGCCCATCGACTTCTTCAAGCAGCCTTCCCCTGCCAGTGACGCTCCCCCTGTGAGAGGTAAGATCCGCTTGCTTAAGCCCGGCGAGCGGCTCGACGACATCAAGCTGCCCCTGGCGGAACCGGCTCCATTGCCGTCGGCGGGGCAAGAGCTCTTGGCACTCCTCAACGGTGGCGGCGCCAACCCCAATGCCGCAGCCGCTGACACCAACAACCAACCGGGCCCGAAAGCAAACGCTGATTTCTTCCAGAACCTCTTGTCTAGGCAGTCCTAGCGCCACCGTCAATAAACAATTACGTACGGGTAGTGAATGGAATGGAAGGTAGACTAGTTCTATAGCTTACTTAATGCTATCCAATGTCCCTTCCACTTGGAATCAGTAGTCGTTGATCGACGAGTAACTGCTGAGACTGTAAGTGTAGCTTCATTATTTTCGCACGGTTCCCAATCACGAACAATCTTCACAAAATAGCATTCCAGTGGTGGTGGCAATGACTGTGGCCCGCTGGTTGCTCCCAAACGAGGTCTACAGGGTTAGGGAACGTAAGATTACTATGGACAAGATATCTAAACAGAAAAAATTAATTCTTATCATTGATGCCAATTGGGCTGTGTCCACCAGGTGCAACTGTCAATGTTTCCGCCAAACAATAAATAGTTGTAAGAAATACATGAGAATGTCAGAGAACTTACTGAACATGAGTTCGTTTCAGCTTCCGACGGCCCGTCTACGAAGACTACTCCACACTCGATGATCAAGTGCAGGTTTCACCTTCCAGACCCCTGGGAGGCTGGCTGCCAGCAGATCCATGGCTCATAGACGCCGCCTTGAAAGACAACGCTGGCCACTTCTCCGCCGCATCACCAACTCGCTGAAGACTATTAAGGAAACGACAGCGATACCTCGAGTCTAACAGACACGAAAATCTATGATAAGTCTAAAATGTAGAGGAAAAGAAGGTTTGGGGGTGTTGGTTGAGACATGACAAGTTTGCTTGAGCATGGGACAACCTGGTAGATCCAACAGCGAATGCCATCGACCGAGGAGCAGCAGTGGTAGTCGTGGCGTGGTAGTATTTGAGGCACCCGCTCTAGCCGAGTTAGTTGTCGGCGAGCTATTAGTATTCAACAGAAGCAAGCGTCAATCCTTACTGTGGCCACCTGAAGTATTGATGGCCACAGTAGATGGCTGAGTCACGAGGCTAATGGTAGAGAGGTAGTGGGATTTCCAGCAACCGCTTCAGCTCATGAGAAAGTATTGTCAGCCATAAGAAAGTGGTGAATAGAGAAGACGGTTAAGGGGGAATTGGCCGCTTTTTATAATGATTGCAGCACTGATGTAAAAAAATTTCCAAACCCGAGATGACGACGCTAAGCCTTCGGCCCCATTGTTGGCCATCGTCAAGGCAGCCCATTGTTGGTCATCGTCAAGGCAGCCCATTGTTGGTCATCGTCAAGGCGATATGGGTGTTTTCACGGGTTGTCCAACTGGTTAAAGATTGTGGAGTAGCACGACGTAGGTTCCGTATTTGGTGCCATAATCCACTGATCTGAGCACCACACGGCAATCTGACAGACTTGCTGATCTACGGACGACGTCTGCGACCTCAGATGTCACCCCTTAAACGACATACCCCTTGGGAACGTTAGCCGGCCCTCATTTCCCCTCATCAATAGGCTCCGTGTCACGTGACCGTATTATTATCAGCCGTATACTATTTTACCAGAATCAAACGATTGAAAAGCTCTACTACTTGAAAGCAGTATCCAGTCAAGCAATCTACACCAATATCTCGCTTCATCTCTTCCATTATAGCTCACTTTGAAAGCGTAGCTTCGTCCTTTTTCCAGCTGTCTCGTCCACAACCCTTGGGGTACTTACGTCATTAGGCACGTCATTTTGACGAGGGCGGGGTACAGATGCGGTCCCCCACTATGTGACGAGATGGACGGTGTAACGAAGATTTTTAAGTGAAGATGGTACACTACGAGAAACGTTTGTCGTGGGTGTCTTAATGTACACCTTCATCCGTGGTACTTAACGTCGTCAGCATTTTCCATCGCGGTCGATGATCACTAGGACAAGGAGTATAGTCACGCGATCGAGAATCGATGAGGAAGAGAATGTGCCCGCCCCGAGCTCATGACCGAAGATGGCTGGCCTACGATAGACCAATGACAATGGAATATTCACCTCGAGGCGTGCGCATTGTTCTCTGGGCGTGGTCATTGTTTTTGGGAATGAGAATGGGGGCTTTATCGAGAAGGCATCGTCGCAGGGGGGTCTTCGAAAAAAGCGGTAGGTTTCGGTGATTCCATCCCCTCGAAGTTCAAAGGTGTTAAAACTTGGGAAGTAAACGATCGGCGGTGTCCATGGTGGGCCTCATATAATGTTTTCATCTTATGTAAACGTCAATCACGCAGGACGCATGCCGCCTAGATTAAATCTTGTGGCCTGATAGAGCTGCGATGCTCCCCGGTTATCCCTGCACATAATCCCATCACCGACGGCTGAGAGTACCTCTTCAGCACTTCAAAGGCCAATGGGCTGACCAACGGGGTCTGCGTTGAATATTGTGTACCCTAGGTCAACTCAAGCTGGCCTGACTGATCGGGTATGCGTACTGTAACGTATGCCCATGAGCCAGCCCATGCTACAAGTGGTATGAAGGTAGGGACAGTATAATGAGTGTACGTGTTAAACGCTATCGAAACGTATATATTGCCGCTTGTGGGGCGTGCTGCGATCCAGGGCTCGCCATGCCCCACATACCGTCGTTAGTCGACAGAACGACGCTAATCGAGCGGCATCATGAGTAGTACTCAAAGTACAGGATGGCTTACGTCGTAAGTTCACATCATTGCCACCAGAAGCGGTAGATTCAGATATATGAGATTCCTTCACCTAGGTTGTATCTGTGAATGAGGTGTGCCAGGAAATGGAAAGAGTTTGAGAATAATGTCCAGGAGCCTCTCGACCTGGCTTTAAACCACCATAGTCAAAGTAGTATTACATTCTAAGTGGACCATTTCGATCAATCCCTATCATCACTGATAGTGACCTCTCCTGAAAACATATCGTTGGTATTGACATGAAGGGTGCTACTCCTTAAGTGGGCTGCCGGCTCTATCACCGCTAATTATGTCACATTTGACGTCGTGTTAGGCTTGAGAAGATAATTCTGTTGTATTGAAAGTTATTTAGCAGCATTTATAGGCCAAAAGCTAAGTAATAGGCTGGCTAGCTGAGTAATAGACCAGCCAAAAAGAAACGTGGGGGTAAGGTCGAGACTTAGCTGGTCGGTCTCGATCACTGATGATTACTCATCTGCATCGGTACTCCGACAATGAGGACGGTCCCGTCCTCATAGACAGCGTCATCCTAACACGTCGGAACGGTGAATGCTTCACTTCTTTTGACGATTCAAAAAATAAGCCCAATGCGGGGCTCGAACCCGCAGCCTTGAGATTAAGAGTCTCACGCTCTACCGATTGAGCTAACCAGGCTTTCTTGCCAGCGCATTAAGGCGAGGAAGATCGTACGGGCCAAAGTATTTGTTAAAGACCGAACAACTGCCTCCCCACATTCTCTCCCATATACTGAGTTTTTCGCCGTTGTCGGCTTTCTCAGATCGCAAGGTATCGTGAATGAAGGCTTTACAAACACTTGAGTTCCTCTAAGGAGTATGTAAGTTTTTAAGTTAGATATCAATGCACAACTAAGGATAAAAAAAAAAAAAAAAGAGATTCTGGCCATGATCAACCCCAACACTGCTCTTTGCACAGTGACAGTAACCTACATTTGAAATATGATGTTGGACGGCGCGCGAAAGCCCTTACGTGCTTTTGGGGGTGACCTGATCGAGTCCTTCGATGGCGACATTGAAACCACAAAACTGATTTAATTTGGTGGTAGATCAAGATCTGTAGCTATTTGTCAGCAACCAGCAACCTTTAATTTATGGATTTAGTGGGATTTAACCGGCGTAAGATTCAATTTACTCTAGGTTAAATGTGATTTCGACAGTGTCACTGTCGTGAGGCGGTGGGACCAATCACGCGACACTGCTAAACAATGAGCTTTCACGTTAACTTACTCTTTGATTATTCCGGCGTCTAGCTGTTCTGCTTCCTTGTTTCTCCGAGGCATCGGGGTTATGGGTTATATCACGTGGTATCACCTCAAAAGTGTCTAATCAGGAAACAAGCGGGAATCATGTCTCCATCCCGCACAAAACAGGCAAACGGCGCTAATGGTTTCTTTTTCTAAAAGAAATTAGAGCCTAGATGGACGCCCCAGGGCATCGATTATGATTATTATTCCCGTACATGAAACAATAAGGAATCACATTTTCTCCAACCGGCAACCTCAATCGAGAAGCCAGTTGCGCTTCCGGTACCTGGCATCTTCGGAGAGATGCCTTGCGTAGTGCAGGTTGCGAGCGAAATAGCACCTACTGACGTACCGTATTGCCTCACTGTACATTGAATCACACATTGGATCACCGCCCCCACACCAGCCACTTTGTAATTTAACAATTGGTCGAACATCGTCACCACCAAGCGAAGTTTGTCCTCATTCTATTATTTCATCATCGCTGGTGGGGCTGAGCAGATGGCTTGTGGAAAAAAAACCATGAGATGCAGACACTCTCCTTTGAGGACGACAGCGGGCGAGCCCTGCGCTAAGGCGTTAGCGGTGGCGTTGGTCAGCTCATCGATTCCACTGAATAATGACACAAGACTATAAAATTCTTCAGGCAGTAGAGAGATGTTTCATTGTAATTATACAAATCAAAGCCACCAAAACTGTCAAAAATTGACATGTCTTGGCGATTTAGAGCATCGCCAAGACCTCGGGTACGCTGTCATGCAAAACATGGTTGGTAAACTCGTCTCAGCAGCGTGGGCTAGGCGGGGAATCTTCCTTTGCTAGTATTCGCACCCTCACGTGAAGAGGCGGTTGCAAGCCCACTTAGGAGGTCAAATGCAGTTCATCGGGAGGGGATATCCCGGAACCGGCGCATGCACAGCGGTTAGGTGAATTACACATTTTGACATGGCGTAATTCTGGTTCTCTGTGTGGGTCTCTGCCGGTGCCTGTGATCGCATTCGGCTTACACCTAGGTCGCAGCCTTACCAAAATGTGGGGGGGTTCAAGTAGCATAGCAGACGCTCTTTAGGGACGGGCAAGCCGACGACAGTTTGTGGGGGTGTCGCTTATCGCAAATTATCTACTGATTATCAAGGGTGCATAGCACAACGTTGCACGGGTGTGGGAGCTATGGTTGTGATGGGAGCGCCACCACAGTTGCACCACCGGCGCCGTATCGCTGAATTGTCAGTAGCCCACAATGGAGTATATAACTGTAGCCATGGGAACTTGGAGAGAACCAGAAACAGAACACCTTCTTCCGGCCTCGATGAGTGAAGGCAAGGCCGCCGACGAGGTGAGACAGACGCTGGGCGAGTGGTCCCACGACACCAGCGACGACATCCACACCAACCCTTCCCGCCCCGGGGGAAATGACGACGAGAAGAAGACCCAGGAGTTCCAGCTGGTGGTCGACATCGAGTCGGCGACCTCGGACGACTCGTACGACAACCTCTTCCAGGACCCGAAAAAGCTAGCGTACTACCTGAAGATCTACGAGGATAGCCAGTACGAGTGCCGGCACTTGCTTGACCCTAACCTCACGTGGACGACGCAGGAGGAGAAGAAGATCTTACGCAAAAATGACTGGAAGGTGACGTTCTTTGCCTTCTGTTGCTTCACCGCTTTGAACTTTGACCGGTACAACTTGGGTCAGGCCCTCTCCGACAACTTCTTGCAGGACAACAAGATGACCACCAACGACTACAACTTGGGCCAGACGATCAACTTGATCTGCTTCTTGGCGTCGGAGCTTCCGTCGCAGCTTATTCTGAAGAAGCTTGGTCCCGAAATCTGGATCCCCGTACAAATGGTGGCATGGAGTATCGTGTCGATGTGCCAAGCCGCCATCACTAATAAGAAAGGGTACTACGCTACTAGAGCGCTCTTGGGTCTCTTCCAAGGCGGGTTCATCGCCGACATCTGTCTCTGGATGCTGTACTTCTACACCGGGCCCGAGCTCCCGTTGAGAATGGGGATCTTCTATATCCTGAACCCCATGACCCAGGTGTGGACGGCGTTGCTCTCCCTCGGGCTCTTGAAGATCAAGAACAACACCTTGAACCACGGGTGGCAGTGGTTGTTCTTGCTTGAAGGCATCGGTACTTTCGTCGTCGGCGTGGCGGCGTTCTTCCACATGTCTCCCTCGGTGGTTAAGACCAAGAAATGGTTCCGTCCTAAAGGGTGGTACACTGAACGTGAGGAGAAGATCTTGGTCAACAAAGTGTTGCGTGACGACCCTACCAAAGGGCTGATGGCTAACCACACTCCCGTCGGCTTGAAAGAGCTCTTCAAAGCGCTTTGTGACTATGACCTTGCCTGGATCTATATCATGCGGATCTTGGTTGATATCGGTGCTTCCCCCACCCAGCTGTACTTGACGTTATTGCTTCGACAAATGGGGTTCAACACTCTTGAGACCAACGCCTTGACCATCCCTTATTCGGTCATCAGTTGTATCCTTATGCTTATATCGTGCTGGGTCTCCGAGCGATTCAACGAGCGAGCACTAACGTTGGCGTTCCAGCCGTTCTGGGTGATGATATGTCTTATCCCCTTCCTAGCGTGGAAGGGGTTTATGAAAGACCAGTGGGGCACCTATGCTCTTTTGACAGTGCTATTGTCTCACGCTCCCTCATGGCCGATCTCCATCACGTGGTGTCTGTCAAACTCCAACTCCGTGCGTAACCGGACGGTGCTGGCAGCCGTGGTCAATATCTTCTCCCAAGTGGCGGCCATCATCGCTGCTAACATCTACCGGAAAGATGATGCCCCGATGTACCGTCGTGGTAACAAGGACCTTATTGGTATTGCTGCCGGTGCCTTAGTGTGGACGATGCTTGCCCGGTGCTGGTTCCAGTGGCGTAACTATTCCAACCTGAAAAAGTGGAACGCCATGACCAAGGAGGAGCAGGACGACTATATGGTCAACACCAAGGACGAGGGCAACAAGCGGCTTGACTTCCGCTTTGTATATTAGATTCGCGAGATAGAAACGTAATGACAACAACACAACGACCACAATGATCATCAGCTCCCAAAGAAGGATTTAGGGTCACCAAGAAGCTTCTTGCGTAGTTGTCTCAGCGCCTTAGTGGCACCCCGATTAATTTGATCCGTTTTAGAGGCGGTAAAGGCAATTGGTGGTGTAGGGGGTGCCTTGCGATCGTTCACCATATACCCGTAGACGCCATAGCCGTGCTGGTCTCGTTGGCGAGCGCGATAAGCCCACCCTCTTTCCAAGTTAATACTGACGTCAGGGTAGTACATGAAGTCCACAAGTATGTGTTGCTTGATGGTATCGAGATCAGCGTGCTTTTCGGGGTCCAAATTGTGGTGGAACCGAGCCCATATCAGCGATAGTTTCAAGGCCACGGGGAGCCGGTAGATCATGCGGATATCGCTGCGGTCGCCATCCAACTTGAACCACATTTTCTCGCCCATTTCCACGTAATCGTAGTAGATCCGGTCGCGACAATCGAAATGACGGTGTGACGGAGAGGGGAGGCAATGGCTCGTCTCCATGTAGCATAGCCGGCCCGCGGCTACGCCTAGGAGGTACAGGATCCCTGTGGGTGTGACACGAGGACACCGATTAAGCAATAGCATCGATAACTTGGGCAATTTACCCGCCTCGATTGCTCGTCCAAGAGCGTAAAGGTAGTTATCGTCGATATAAGTATCACTCAAATTGAGAGCAACCAAATTGGTAATGTTATAAATCCCTAGACGTTCATCATTGGTCATTTTGGGGCTGGTAGCAGGACCCACAACCGGTGAGGTACCTTTGCCATCAGCTGACAAATCAAGCACTACAAGTGCTTCTTTGGGGAGATATCGGGTTAATTGGTTAATCGGTACTGATAACGGTACGTTCTCAAGCCGATGGCACCCACGGGGGATCTGGCACATGGCCACAACGTCGCCTCGAAGGGTGGGGTCGTTGCGCCGATGGGGGTCAAAGTGGGCGCCTAAAACCGATGCCACCAATGCAAAACTGTGAAATGAGTCTGTCTGAGTGAGCATTAACTGGTTCCACATGCGTTCGACACACAGACGAGGCAATTGGGCGAGGAGGGAGACGTCAAACTGGCGGATGATGGAACCGACTTTCCGGGCACAAATATCGCGTAAACTAAATGCCGGGGGTACGGTTATCGGTTTTGGTGTCAGTTCGAGAGCTGTAATAGCGAATGGAGGCACCTCTCCTAAAGAATCATGGGTAGCGTGCTCCCAAGGAGGGGTGGCAAACACTACTGAGTCTCCGGGCGAAATCGAGGATAGGGCTATTAACCGTTCACTAGGGTGCTCATACCGCCGTTTCGTCACCCGGAATTGTCGTCGCTTCATCCACGGGTCGGGTATCGACGATGTTTTGAGGCAGTGGGATCCCGCCACTGCTGATAAACCATCGTGCTGCAGCTGATGACGATAATCGCTACTGTGCAGTATTGTGCTATCTGCAGTACGGTAGTTGCTCACCCTTATAAAATTGTCTGGCCATCGCAGTTTTTCTTCTTCACCGCCAGAGGATTGGTCTCGATCGAACACCTTTCTTGCCTTTTACCAGAGAGGTCCGGGGGCCATCCTTGCTAATGGTGTGTTGTTTATTTTTGGAACCTTTCACTTTGTCGATCCATTCGACTCCTTTTCGGTGGGGCCTGCGAGACCGTCGTCCCCATGGAAAAGAATTCGTGGTCTACAACTATTCGAAGTATATTACATGTCATTGGCTATCTATTTGGTCTATATACACTAAGGGATTCATGCCAATTCCTTTTCCTTGTGTTTGAGCACCGTCTGGCCCCGATACGGCTCGTCGTTGACGTCGTCGGCGTCAACAGACCGTGGCTTCTGATGGTATTGCAAGTACTGTTGTTTTTGCTTTTCCCGTTGTTCAGGACTGCCTTGTAACGGTCCGTTGATCATAGCATCAGTGACCCCATTAGAAATAAGCGAACGCCACGTCTTACGGTTCTCAAACCCATTGCGACTGTTCTCGTAGTCCACAAACTTCTGGTTGATATCAGCTTCGTTCACCGCAACAAACGGGCCTAAGTGGATCAGGGGCTGTTCCAATACTTCACCGCCAACAAGAACAAACTCAACGTCGCCAGTAGTGCTTCCACTTATAGTGTCACCGTCTCGGTTAAAGAAGAGATTATCAAACTCTTTAGCCGGTGTATTAACCACTCTGAGTCCCAGTCCTTTGAACACATAAAGGAAGTAATTATAGTCGGGGTTTACGGGTTGAGTGAAGGTAGCTCCTGGTTTCAAAATGTAGTGGTAGAACTCCACTCCCGTATACGTCAAGTTCTTACGCGATTCAACACCATACAGCTTTCCCGCAACCACTTTCACAGTGATGTCGCCGTCGGCACTGACAAATTTGGGCACTTCCCATTCTCGTAAGTCGAAATAGCGGGCAGGTGCATCTTTCACTTTATTCGGTAAGTCGATCCACAATTGAAGCAATTGGGCATTGGTCCCGTCGTTATCTTCCAACGGCATCTCAGAGTGGACAATACCCTTCCCAGCAGCCATAAACTGAAGGTCACCAGGGTACAATATCCCCTTTGACCCAGTAAAATCTTCATGACAAATCTTACCAGCTAAACAGTAAGTGATGATTTCCTGGCCGGCATGAGGATGTTGAGGAAACCCAGCGGGACCATCAGACTTGAAGTGGTCCAATATCAAAAACGGATTAAATTTGGGAGTTTCCTTATTGCCAATCAGTCTCTTGACCAATGCTCCAAGGCCATCATCTCGAGCGCGTACAGCATGGACAACTTTTTGGATGGTTCTTCCCTTTGGCATTATTATCTTCGATGAGTTTATGAAACAATTGTACGTCCTTATATACTAGCTTATTTGTCAGCAGCCACAATGTGTAATTGTGACATATTTGAGGTCATAGAAGCGTTTCGAACCCTGGCGATGATTCCGGTACTACCGCAATATGTGGAGACAGTCAGTCAAAAACATGTAAATGCGGACTTCAACAATTGACCATTGAGTTAAGATAATTGGCACGTTACAGTTGTTTAAGTGTTTACTTTTAATTGTAAAAGTGGTTCAAATCACTCAATTCTCTGCCCCTTTTCTCAGTGACGTTATCTTGGCTGTTTTCGGAATAATATGCCATGCACGGCTCCAGATACCTCAATCACTGACGTTTACCTCAAGTAATTGACTGAGCCACTTAGTCTTAGATTACGAGGACCAATTGACAAAGATTACGCTTATATGTAACGATTACTTATATGCGTGGAAGGAATTAGAAAGTCGTGGAAGGTGGTAGAAGGGAAGACCATCTTCGGTGATCATCCCGTATAGGCAACACACCGGTTATCTCCTCAGACATGCAGAACGTTGTAACATTTCCGTGGGGGCGGATTCCGGATTTTACCTCATTTAGACAACCGATAGGGATAGTTTTAGAAGCAGTCGAACTGGTTTGCTGACACTCTGAGGTTCTCCTCCAATACGTCGTCCCATTCCTGCTGGTCGTAGGCATCACCTAATCTTTCTTGGATCGAATTGAGAAGGATCTCGATGATGCGGAACGCCGTCTCATTAATCTTGAGGGTCTTCGAGTTTTCAAATACTTCCATGAAGAAGTTGACGTCCAACTTCAAGTTGGCCAACTTCACCGCCGACATGTCTGGGTGAGCCCGCATGTTGTCCAATACTGACTTAAGCACCCCTTGTTGGAGCTCATTGACGATCGAGATAAAGATCTCGGTACCCGTCAACGGCTTGATGCGGTGGATCAACTTGACAAACTCCATGAGGATGTCGTAGATGAAACCGTCCACTTTAAGTTCTCGCGGCTCCACCCCCAGATTGAAATGTTGAGAGATACGAGCATTCATCACCAACTTCTGCTTCAGGATGACATCGTCAAAGATCGTTAACGAGGCGCGATCGATATTGGCAAAAATCGGCAAGTTCTGCTGCTGTAAGTCCTTGTCAAATAGAGTATCAAACTTGCGAATCAAGATAGGGTACACAAGCCGCAGCAACACGTCGAAGTTGTTCATTGTCAAGATCTTGTACACTGCCGAGTTGTCGTCCTTTCTGTCGTTATTGTACTTCTTCATGATGGAGTCTAGGGTGATATTCAAGCACCGCATGAACTGGATCTCCACCCCCACAAGCGTCTTCTTCAGTGGGTGCAGGGGCACGATGCGGATCTCGGCCCCCTTATCATTTTTGGTGAATAGTAATTGCCCAATTTTGGTGAGGACAAATCCGTGGTAGTAGGTGATAATGTTCATAAGCTTGGTGTAGTTGGCGCCGTCGAAATGAGGGTCTTCCCCCTCGATGGGGATCGTCAGGACGTCCCACTGTTCAAGCTCGTAGAACTGCAGACAGTCATTTACCCACACTGTGCCGAGTGCTTCAACGATGCGCTGATTAGCTCGGGCGGCACAGTTGCGCATAAGCTTTACTAACCGGTTCAGCTCCGCTGACTTGTATACTTCACCGACAGAGCCGACAAACTTGCCGAGACTGGTGAGGAAACGGCTGAGCTTATTCAGTATCGCCAGCAAGTAGTACATCGCCAGCAACGAGTTCAGGTAGTAAGGCATGAATTGGGAGTAGTTCTCGGGCACTTGGTCGGCTAAGTTGGCCTGGTCTTCATCGTCAAAGATCAACAGCAAGATGTCGACGGTACGGGTGATCAATTGATCAAACAGCGCCCGGATTTGCCCCTCAGGATCGACGTCTTCAATGTTTTGCGTACCGCCATAGTGAGTATAGTTAGTGACAAATTTAGCCACATTCTTGCGGTAGATATCGTCGAGATAGTCAATGAAATTGAAGAGTACCAACCACGTCTCGTTGATCACACTCAAGTCCAAGTTCTCCAGCTGCTCAAACACTTCGGTCACCGTGTGTTCAGGGTCGGCCATCACCAGATTAGTCTGGAAATAGGTCTCAATAGTGAGGTACTTCTCAGCAATGTAGCGCACATACAGCCGCCGCGGCAGTCCCAGTAATGACCCGATATGGCTCTTGAGTTTAGCTTGCATCATCTTGAACTTATCGTCAAATTTCGTAAGTTGGTGCTCGAGCTCGTGGTGGAGCCCGTCCACCTGAGCCCTCAAAAATTGCGAGATTGGGTTGCTTTTCTTATCCGGGTCCAACTGGTAGATCTTATCCACGAGCGAGATGAATTTGGAGTTGGGGTTCTTCTCCAGATCGATGGCACGACCATACGTGTTGAGGGTCACCTGATGGTCGAGAGCAAGCAACTGGCGGTAGATCCGCTTGCGGTACTCGTGGATGATGTTGTCGACATTGTCAAATAACTTGTTAGCCACGGTAAGCACCAAAAGATTCAGTTCTTCCACTTGTTGGAGTTTAGTGGCGTCTCCTTCAGCCTCGGCACGGTCTGCCTGGTACTGCTGTTCGTGATTTCGAGTAAACAGCTCTCGCTTCAAAATGTACTCATTGTAGTCATCGACCACTTCATCGTGGCGGTTTTGCGCGATATTATTAAGGAGCTTTTGAGGTAAATCAAAGAGGAATTGGTTCAGGCGGATAAACTCGATCACTTGACCCAATTTCAGTTCACGATCAGTGTTCTCTTTGATGGGACGGATCATAAGCGCTAACGTGGTATTCAAGTTTTTGATCAGGTCCTCCAATTGCGCTGATAACAGATCATCTTTCACCCCACCTTGCAGAGGCATATATACCTTGGTAGCATCTCTTTCCGTGCCCACTTTGGTCTTGGTCTGTCTAAACCCGACAAGTATCGTGTCAATGCGTTTTTTGATGTCGACAAACTGCTCAAAGTTGTTATCAATGACTCGCTGGACATTGCCTCGTTGCAGTTTAAGCAGCCGGTCCAAGATACCAAGGTAACGGGTCAAATCATCAATGGAGGAGTCATTGTGCACTGTAGTTAAAAATTTGGAGGCGTCAAACTGTTGGGAGGTGATGATATAGTGGTTGATTTCGGGGTCGTTCTGCGACGAGATTGCGCGGCGTGAAAGCAACGTCTGGACGACATTGGACCCTTTCCCCTGTAAAGGGTCTTCGACATCATCCTTGGTATAATCCTCAGGCTTGCGGCTGACGAGAAACGGCTGGTACTGGCGGTTGACCACCTCGTTGAGGATGGAGAACTGTTCGTCCAAGGGCATTTTGGCGACCTCGTCGAGATCGTAGAATTGCGTCGGGTGCTGTTTCAGCTCGACATCGCTAAGCTGGGTCGGATGGAGGGTAGGGAGGTCGTAGAAGGAAAGGAGCGACTCGTCGGCGGCGTCGTAGTCAAGCATGGCCGGGCCTCTATGGGAAATCAACACTCGCGCGAACTTTATCAGGAGGAACACCCGTGCAGCAAACAAGGACAACGACAAAATTGCTTAGTAGATTTGATTGAATTGAGTCACTTGAGTCTTCTAATATGTAGTTTCACTTTCTTGGAATAATTTGGTAACTAATTTTCGTAAACATTAGAAATTATGACTCCAGGGCCATTCAATCATACTCAGCACATTTGTATATGGCTAACGAACAGTTGAATGCATCAATTGGTAGCTGGCATTTTCTTGTTCATAATTTTGAACCCGTTGATTGATAGATCGATCTAAAACATTGAAGAATTCCTTTCATTTGCTCATTGTGTTTACCTCGTGGTATATGACTGGAAAAACCAAGCGCTTTCAAATTGCACTACAACATTTTAGTAATCCAAGTAATATCGATCGAATCATCTTAAAAATAAAACATAAACCAATTGTTCAAACTAGTCAATTGGTTCGACTTTGTCGGTCTACCATGGGGTCACCATTGTCAGGCTTTTGCCATTTAATTACTGTGTGGCACGCGGTGCGAAAATCATGGCGACGGTTATCCAGGATGCTCTGAGGGCGGCGGAGCAAGTCACGGAGCAGGTGGCCGAGGGCGTGGCCAAGCACATTGCCGGCGACTCCGAGGACCTTTACTCGACTGACGGGTACACGTCAGACGAAGACGACTACGAATACGACTCTCTGGCCGAGCTCAGTGCCCAACAACAGTGGGAGCAGAGCGTCGACCAGATCGAGCGGTTGTTCAGCCAGGTGGTGTTCCCGTTGATCGGGAAGGCGTTGGGGCGCAAGTTCAGCCACTTGGTGTGGGGGCGGGTCGCCACCTGGTGGTGGGGGTATTATTAATTAGCATTACTATACAATTTCATGATGAGACAACAGGGGACGTTACAAACTGTTTAGTAGCTTGGTGAACTGGGTGTGGATGTCTTGTTCGACGAGCTCGGTGAATATGAGCCGGGTGAACGGCTCCACGAGCCCGAAGAGTAATCGCTGGACGATCTGTTTCACCAACTTGACGTATTCCTCGGGCAGCAAGTGGTAGTTCAGGTCGCTCAGCACCCCCAGCGCCATCAGAAAGATCAGCAGCAGCTCGTCGGACTCGGTGGTGGTGCGCAGAAGCGTCATCTCCAGCGCCCCCACCGCCACAAGCCCGTTGCGTAATATTTGGAAGATCTGGAGGGTGACTTTGAATAGAGTCTTGTAGATGAACAAAGTGTCCAAGGCGATGTTGATCTCAAGCTTCTCGATGAGTAACTGTTTCAGGTTGAGCTTGATCGGCAGCGCGTTCAGCACCAGCTGCGGGTACCCGTTGAGCTGGTTGATCGTGTTCAGCAGGCCCAGATGGCTGATGCCATCGCCCTTCTGCGGTACCGGGGTGCCAATGTCAAAGTTTCTGAGGATGGTTAGCAAGTTTTTGGCGAACTTCGCCTGGTGGGTCGTCAGCAGCTGTGTCAGCAGCGACACGATTCGTACCAGCGGTGCTGCCAGTCCCTGAGGACTGAGGGCGTGGGGCCGATCAAAGTTGATCAGAAACGCCAGGTTAAAGTCGTCGCCAGCGAGTTTCTTCAGGCCGCCGACGCCTATAGGCCCTGAGGTCGGTTTGTTGTTGGCAGGAGTGGTGCGGACGTGGTGGATGATGTGTTTCTGCGGTTGCTGCAGTGAAGTATAGAGCTCCTCGTCGAGCTCGAGCGTCCGCACCAACAGGCCGAGCAGAATGCCCAACTTGAGCAATTTGGCGGCGTCGACGGGGAATTTCTGCGGCTGGTCGCGGAGCTTTTGCACGCCGTGGGGGTCGAGGCGGTAGATGTTGAGGAAGAACCCCGGGGCGGGTTTGGTGGAAAACGGCACCGAGGTGAGGAGCAGGGTGAGGTTGGTGATCTCGTCGTCGAGAATGCCCACGAGGCTCGCCATGGCGCTTGAATTTTTGGGTGGTTTGGGCGGGTCGATGGAAGGACGTTGGCGCGCTGTGGAGAGGCGAGATAAGGTGAGGGTCGCGCGCGGCTACTACGCGGTGTTGTTAACAGACGAGACAGTGTGGGACTGGCCATGTGACTGTGTGCAGGAAATTGCCCATGAAAAAAAAAACACCGATGGCTGTGCTGGGTACTTAACCCCTTAAACCGCATTAGGGTGGGCTTATCCCTAATTTAGACGATCAAGTTAAATCAGACGATAACTGTACTAGTGAGCTAAGGAGGCATGTTAGTCTACTGTGTAGTTCGTTTTGCTTTGTTGCTAGTTAGTGGGTGCATGGCATTTTGTGGCAGGGGCACGGCGATGGGCGGAGTCGAGAGTAAAGGGCGTGTGCTAGCAGTTATCCATGCGTGTAGTATTTCACACGAGAATGCGATTCCAATGTGACTCTAGGAGCAACTTATGTGTAGTCTGACCTTCAGTAGTTGAAGCCTTTTAACTGGTCGAGGCGGTGGCTGCTAACCGTTAATTTGCAACCCTAACTTTTGATCGAGAATATTTAGGTTTATTACAGTATGTTCCATTTGGTAATATGCGTCTGGTCGTATGGATTGTGTTCGACTTGTGTTGCTTGATTTCATTTGCCTTGGTGCTATCAATAATGAGACGACTTGGAAAGTTTGCACCAATACGAACTGCCTCAAATAACTGCCTCAAATAGAGCTAGACCAACGAAAATCTACGGGTTGCCAAATCAGATTTCATCCTTCTTTATGTTAACTCTATTCATCATAGAATCACTAGCGGTTGATAAGTTGGTATCTGGTGGCCTCAGCTAACCATTAGCGATATTTAGTTTGAGTACTACATTCCAGGTAGTTGGGGCCACCTCATTTCAAAGCTCTACTCTATCCACGATCCCATACTATACTAGCCATTACTGTGACTACACGATTCGTCAACTTGAGATCACAAAAACCCTTGGCCAAGCCCATTTTTCACTGGTTCCATGGTTATCCCCGTCGGCGCCTTCCCGATGCGGCAAGGTCCTTTTTCGCTGACAATCGCCTGATTGTTCGCTCGCGCTCGTACCAAACCCCATCCATCACTACCATGTTGGCCCGCTTGTTCTTCACCAGGAACACCACCTGGGCGCCGCTAGCTCGGCAGACACGCCCCGGTGTGTCTTTCTTTGCCAACACTTCGTTGGGGCGCGTGCCCCGCTTCGCCCACGCCCCGTGGCGGACGATGGCTACCACCGCTAATAACACCGCGAAACAAGCGACCCCGAAAATTACCGAGATTATCGCCCTGAAGAAAGTCGGGTGGTGGCTCGTGGGTACTCTGACCCTCGTGTTTTCCATCGTCGTCATTGGCGGGCTCACCAGACTCACGGAACTGGGGCTTTCCATCACGGAGTGGAAACCGGTCACGGGGTCGATCCCGCCGTTGCTGGAAGCTGACTGGCTTGACGAGTTTGCCAAGTACCAGAACCTGCCTGAATTCAAACAATTGAACTCCCACATTACCCTTGAGGAGTTTAAGTTCATCTATCTGATGGAATGGGGCCACCGTCTTTTAGGGAGAGCCATCGGCCTTTTCTTCGTGTTGCCGGCGTTATACTTCTGGAAAACGAAACAGTTCGGTCCTCATGTTGGTAAGCGTGTGCTTGGCCTTACCGCGTTGTTAGGGCTTCAAGGGTTTATCGGCTGGTGGATGGTCCAGTCCGGTTTAGACGAAGAACAATTGAAAGAAAGACGACTGATGCCTACCGTATCGCAATACCGTTTAACTACTCACTTGGGAGCAGCGTTTTTGATGTATTTGGGCGTTCTCTGGACGGCGTTTGAAGTGCTTAACGAAAACAAATGGTTGGACCAGGCCCGTAAAGGCCACGGCGCTACCATGGAAAAGTTGTTCACTCAACTAAACAGCCCGTTGCTTAAACCGGTGAGAAAGTGGGCGACGGCATTATTATGTCTTACCTTCGTCACCGCGATGTCGGGGGGTATGGTCGCCGGTTTGGACGCCGGTTTGATCTACAATACTTTCCCCCACATGGGCGACGACTGGATCCCGCCTAAGTCGGAATTCATGTCACCTGTGTTCGCTCACAAGGAAGATAAGCTGGACATGTGGTGGAGAAACTTGACGGAAAACCCCACCACCGTGCAATTGATCCACCGGATCTTTGCCGTGACCACCTTCTGTGCTGTTTCTGCCGTGTGGTGGTACGTGGGTCGCCACAAGGCGATCGTGCCCAAGCCGGCTCAAACCGCTGCTAACACCATCATGGGCTTGGCCACGTTACAAGTGACGTTGGGGATCTGCACGTTGATTTACCTTGTGCCCATCCCCTTGGCGCTGGCCCACCAGGCCGGTGCCTTGGCGCTTTTGACCGGGGTGTTGGCCTACGCCGCCGCGCTTAAGAAGCCGAGACCAGCGGCAGTGCAAGTGATCAACCAGCAAATGAAGCAGGCCCTCTTGAAGCAAAAGGCGTGATTGCATTGACCCAAAATTAATTTCGTGTACATAGACATATTTGTAAATAGACGTCGCCAAGGGTTTTTGTGGCCTCCAGGTGTTTTTGGCCGCCCTTGTTATAACAAACAACAATTGAGGTGTAGATGTTTTTTCAGTCGCTTTTAACCTAAACTCTCAAAAAAAGTATTTTCCACGTGGGTAGTTGTCGCTGGCATCACCACTTTCGCTTCTCATACCGCTGTGGAACACGGGGTCCAGAACCTGGGATCCAGAACCTTTGGGATAGTAGAGAAAGTGTACGCGAATGCCAAAAATAAGCGGAAGAAGTAGGAGGTTTACAATTTAGGTGAGGATGAGGTGACACGACTCAAACGATTAGCACGCTCAGTTTTACTGCCATTAGCAATCATTATAAACATTTATCAATATCTCGTAGAACATGAACTACCGTACTTATCTCAGATATCGTATAGCTGCACTTATGATCGATCGGTCAGGGGTAAGCTATAAACGAAAGACTCTCGAAACAGAACGGATATATTCCAATAAGGGACGGTTGCTATTGACCACCATAATCAACCGAATCTGGGATCATGTGAGAATGATCTTGAGGCAGACGCTGGCGTCATGACAATAGATACCGAAACAGCCCTCTCAGGGACCAGCCGCTCCGAAACGACCCCACTAATAGGGTTAGGTCTCTATTGTTAGCCCTGGACCGTTTGTTTACCTCTTCTTTTCAACAATCTCGTGATAGAAACCTCAAGTAAAGTACATTACCGTATAGAAACACATCAAATAATCACGATCTAAAGATACGAAGTGTCATATCCAGGTAGTTTAGTATTATCTAGGTAGTATCCCTTTGTAAGATTTCGTGTATAGCAACTTGTCGTGATTAGGTTTCATTCGAGTGCCCCTGAAAAGGTTTACCAGGCGTTATTGTCAGCTTCAGAGTTCAGGCGGACGGCTGCGATTGTGTCTTCGAGCCAACACTTTCGTCAGAGACCACAACATCTGGGACGAGTAACGAGAACCAACTATAAATATCCTTACTACTTTCCCTGCAATCCTCATCAACCCACTCTATTCTTACAATGCAATTCAAGTCTATCGCTACTCTCGCCATCGTTTCGGTCGCTGTCGCCGCTCCCCTTGCCTGTGAAGACGGCTCGTGCCAAAACGGCTCCGGTAACATCCAAGGCATTGGTGGTGGCCAGGGTCAAGGTCAAGGTCAAGGCCAAATTGGTGGTGGCCAAGGCCAGGGTCAAGGTCAAGGCCAAGGCCTCGGTGGCGGTGTTAGTGTTGGCGGTGGCCAAGGTCAAGGCCAGGTCTCTGGTGGCGGTTCTACCACTGTGGTCCAAGAGGAACAAGGCGGTGGTAAGTTGAACAACCCCTTGGGTCCCGTGGGTGCTATTGCTGCTGCCATCTGGGGGTGTGCCATGTCGATCTTGGGCACTGCCTAAGTCTAGGGAGGTATTGAAACCGGTGTGGGGGGAGACATCATCGATTCCCGGCCGTGTTGGTGATGGTTGACTTCCGCATTTATACCCCAATCTTTGAAATTTTTTTTACTCTCGTTCATATATATTTTTGTGTTTGATATATGTTCGTCAAAGGAAGTGTAGGAGTCGTGATTCTGATTAGTCAGAGCTCGTCATCTGGTACGAGATTCTTGGGCGAATTTGAGTGAATATTGCCGGTTGGGCCTGATGAGAACGCCGCGCCACTCTCTGAACTGAAGATCAAACTAATAGACGCCATAATGAGCTAATATCGACAAGACTTGAGGCAAATTGGAAGTAGCACTATGTTCAAAGCTTGTTCTTTTGCTTGTTTGTGGTGAACAATATAGTAGCCCTTTGGATTACCCTCGATTTCGGGGTGGTCTCATTTGCGAGTTCTAGAATCGAAAGTGGTGGCGCAATGTGGGACCCCGCAGATGGATTCGATAATCTTCGATGCCAAGATCTAGTCTACCATTTTACGGGGCAAATAGGCCTCAGCCGTGACCTCAAATGTATAACGCATATGCAGTTAGCACAAACCACGCAAACGGCAGAAACATCTCAACTAGTATAAATAGACCACAATCTAATTGTAAAGGATATTCAATTACAACAACAATTACAACTATGAGAACTGAAATGATCAACTTTGCCTGTGACGCCTCGTGCACCAACAACTGTGCTCTGGCGTGCCACTGCACGTCAAACTGTGCTGATGGCTGCAAATCCAATGCCGGCTGTGCTGCTGCCTGCTCTTGCCAACAATGTGGTGGGGCTAACTGTGATTGTGGGTGCAAGCTGTGCTGCTGCCTGCTCTTGCCAACAATGTGGTGGGGCTAACTGTGATTGTGGGTGCAAGCTGTGCTGCCACTAACTGCCCAGCGAAAACTGATATATAGTTTTTTGTGATTTCTGAATGAATGAAAATGTGTTTAATTGAGTCCAAACTGTAGAACAACAACGAGCAATTGCTAAAGCTTTAGGAGCTAAGTCGACACTACCTGAAGGAGAGTCATTAATCTCATCAAACAGCTTCAATGGAACATGTTGGAGACTGGTGTGCTTTCACCAGTTATTTGAGTAGTCACAGTAAATTCATAGACCCGCTTTACCACATTGCATCACCCCGAAACTTTAACTAGCTTTCTCGCTTGTTGATAATCGACGGTAGTGTGTTAAAAAGACTACAATGACTGACCCAGTGACTAACCATACGTCTCAGACGAACGTCGGCCCGGGACCGGAAAAGAAGGATATCCACATCTGCCAGCTGTGTAAGAAAAGAGATGATGACATCGCGAAGACGGCTGGCATAGAAAATGTTATCATTGGATTGACTTGCTTTTTGGTTGTATGTCTTTTTGCAATGCTACTCTTGATTTGGGTTGTATTTTACTAGTAATTGAAATATTGACAACAGCACCTGCCAACCACCAGGTTGTGACACTGAAACATTGTACTCTAGGTGATCAAGAGTAGGCTTGAAATCAACCAACCTAAAATTGACTGTATCCTTGCTGAGATGAGCGATGATACAGGTGCCAACGCTAAAGGTTTTTTTTACTTTCATTCGTAGAGGAGTAGAAGTGTACGAGATTTCTCACCACCGGACACTGGCTACAGCCTTCTCCCGTGGCTGCTAGGCATGATTATTCGCAGCGAGGTGAGTCTGCTAAAGTTTTACTGGATAGTGAATATGGTTAAGTTCGCCCTATAGTACTACAACTTGGCAAATCTGTCAATATGAATATACCAGGTACCAGATGAAGTAGAGCGAGAGAGTGGGGTGCAGCAATCAGCAGGTGACTTAAATAACTGAGAGGGGAGGCGACTAGACCGAAAGACTAGCATGGACTCAAATCGGACTGAGACATGATCAATTTACGCATTGTAAAACATCAATAAAGTTGATGGCACATAAATACTCCCACTCTAACCGGAATGCTTGTCTATTATTAATCCTTATCTAGTCACCATGAAAATCTCGTCCAACGCCTTGGCGTCGGCCACCGCTGCCCGCTTGGCCGCGATCCATTTTGATCTTGCCCCAAGACGACCAGCGAGGGGCGTCGTCTCTCGTGACAGAGGCGTGGGGGTTTCCTCTAGCTTCTTCAGCTTTTCCTTTTTGTCCTTTTTGTCCTTCAACTTCTCTTTCTTGTCTTTCTTCTCCTTCTTTTCCTTCTTCTCCTTCTTTTCCTTCTTCTCCTTCTTTTCCTTCTTTTCCTTCTTCTCCTTCTTTTCCTTCTTTTCCTTCTTCTCCTTCTTTTCCTTTTTATCCTTCAGTTTCTCCTTCTTCTCCTTCTTTTCTTTCTTGTCTTTCTTCTCTTTCTTCTTGGGTTTGGTATCCTCATCGTCATCGTCTTCTCTGGTTCTCTTGGACAGGGCTGAGCCGTCTGTCAGCTTCAGTTTCAGACCATACTGAGCGTCCCACGTCAGTTTAAGCGTATCCCCTTTGACAAAATGCATCCCCCACTTCCCATTGATGATTCTCTCCTTCCGCTGGCGGTCCATCTCCTTATTGATCTGGTCCTCTTTACCGTTCAAACGACCCAAAATCTGTTGGAAAACATCAAGACCAGCACTATCATCGTCTAAACCATCACCGCCATTCTTTTTCTTGCGGAGTTTCGCCCCCAAACCGACGTTATCGTCCTTAATCAGCACCCGGATATGGGTGGTGGTAGCGCCGGGGACGAGCCCGATCCCCTGGCCCGGTTTCCACCCCATGCGCTCCATGTACTTCATGCCAAACCGGTTGGTGTCATTCAGCCACGCGGTGTTGCGGGGGTCGTTGCCGAACCGCTGCTTTGTCCGTGTGCCCGCCAACCCCATGGTATCACAAGTTCGCGATGAGATGAGGTCCCAAACGGGTAATAGTGTTTAAGAGAACCCCCTCCGAAAAAAACATTAAATTTAAATATAATAAAGGTCTATTATAATGTTAAGGCTAAGCTAGTAAGTTTGAGTTTTGTCTTTTTTTTTGGGGGGGTTGTTTTTTTGGCGTTAGCTATGGCTTCCCGGTCTCTGGTTAGTGCCAGTCAAATTAAACTATATGCAGTACGTTAAACCTCCGCGGTATTTGTGCTACCACCTGACGATTTGTGGATCGGTGCAGGACGTACTGCAGACAACTTATCTATTCGATCACACCAACCTCCAACGGGCCAAAAGTCATCCAACCGTAGCCTTTCTCTGAGTAAGTGGTGGTCGGTGATGTTCGTTCTATCTGTTAAATTCGCCGTATAGTTGTTTCCGACTTCCCCCGGGTCGCTAGCCCTAAAATTGCCATTGCCGCTTCGGAGGGAGAACCCGCTGGGCGTGCGGCTCTAAGCCTCAAAGCGCCAACGTCAGTGCTCACCTGCCGCCAACCCCCCCCCTCAAATTTAACACCAAAGAGTTACGGCGCCCCCCCTCGCCCCCTCCGGGTTCTCCCTGTCTTCCACCAATGTCGCTATACGAGTGGCTCCCCCACTACCATTTCCCCACCACCAAGACCCCCGAGCTGCTGCGCCGGCGCAACGCCGTCGGCGCCCGCTGGGGCGCCATCGCCACCCTCACGGTGTGGGCGCTATTGATGGTGATCCCGGTGGTCAACTGGCTATACAAGCGGGGGTACCGCATAGCCCAGCGGCCGCCGTTACTCCCCAAAGTGACCCGGTGGTTGACTCAATTGCAGTCGCCGTCAGCGGCGTCAGCGCCGCTGGCCGCGCTGCTGGCGCTGCTGGCGCCGCAATGGGCGCCCCAATACACAGAATACCTGGCCCTTCTCGACTCCCAGCCCGTCCCACGACGGCGCCGGTCTCGAATAATCCGCTGGTGGAACCACCTCATCGATGGTCTCAAAGAGTTTTCGTACTGGATGGCGCTCCGCTGGAATAGCATCGCCCGCATCGGGTTCTGGGCGGCGCTCTTGACGTTCTTCGCCGTCATCGAGACCAACAACGACTATGTGTGGCTCGCCAAACGGCTAGGAAGGATCCCCGCCATTTGTATGCCCCCGATCTTGTTTCTCACGTTGCGCCCGCTGCCGCTACCGCACACTCTATACCTCGCTGTGTTGCCCATCCACAAATGGATGGCGCGATTGATTGTGGTCCAGGCGGTCGTCCACACGATCATCTACTTGTTTTACTTCCAGTTTAAGAACGGGCTGTTTCACAAAGCGTGGAAGCGCGAAAATCTATACGGCTGGGTAGCCCTCTTTGGCTTTCTCGTGATCACCGTCACCCTGTTGGGCCAGATGAGAAACCGCTACTATCGCTTGTTTTACATCAACCATTATTTGTGGACGTGGGTGATCGTGGCGATGTTACAAGTCCACATCCGCCCCTGGAACTATAAGTGGTATACGGCGGCTAATGTGGCGATACTAATATGGCAGATTGCGGCACGGGTGTACATGCTGGTGTACTCCACTACCCGTTCGCAAATCGGGTTTGTCGAGGTGAAACAGGCGCTGCCGCTGTTTACCGTGGTCCAGTTCCCCAAGCAGTTTCTTGCTGTGCCTCATAAAAACCCGGGGGCCCACTTACGCCTTACTTTGTTACCGAAGCAGTGGTGGCGGCGGTGGTGGCGGCTCGCGGTGCCGATGTACCACCCGTATACTCTAGCCCTGCTTCCTAACGATAAGACCCAGCTGTTGATCATTAGAGAGCTGACGTTCCGGTTAGTGAATGATGGCGATTACGTCATCTGTGCCACCTACGACCCAAAGCTCTTGTTTATCACTAGAGATACCCACCACCAGAAGACGAAAAAACCCGCTAAATTTCAAATTCTGAGGCTCCACATCAACGCTAAGCGGATGTTGATTGTCATTGGCGGCCTGGCGGTGCTGTTTGCCCTCCCCTTAATCCGAGTGGCCACTTACCACGGTATCCCCGTCAAAGTAGTATGGGTGGTACGCGATTTCCGAGACGTCCAAGTGCTAAAACACTATGAGGATGTGGTCTCCGGCGACGACTTTGAGATCTACGTCACGGGCGAGCCGCTGCTTTCGCGCCGCAGGCTGTTCTACTTCGACCGCGACCTTGCCGACGCTGTGGTCGACGATACTGACCCCTATTTACGCAAATGGTTTGATAGCCACGACGATGACGTCTACGAGAACGTTGAAGTCGATGTGGCGCTGGCCCCAGCCTCGGATTCGGGGACAGTAAGAGCGCCGCTGCCAGCGCTGTGTGGGTCGCTGGTGGTCGCTACTACACCAACATCAGCACCAGTACCGCCAGCGCCCCGACGGATTCGAAAGAAGCCGCTGATGAACGACCCTTTCGAAGTGTACTACTCGAAACTGAGCTCAGAACACTCGAAAAACTACGTGGTTCAGTACCGCGAGACCGTGGAATCGCTTGGAATATCCCACAGGGTATATAAGGGCCGCCCAGTGATGGACCACCGCTACGTCGACTGGTGCATTAACGAAGGTTTCACTCAGTGTTCCGGTCCCGTGGCCGATGAAAATAACAACTTAGTGTGTTGTCAAGCGGTCCAGCCGAATCGGGTTCGCCAAACTAACGTCAATTGCCGCGACGTGTGGGTGGTGCTGGCGGGTCCCGGTGGCCTCGTCAATAATATGAAATTGTGGGCGACACAAAACGGGTTCAACTTCCACGAAGAAGCATTTAATGTATAGTTATATAGAGAATGCGCCATTAATAAATTTAGTATTTATTAGGAGATTGTGACGTGCGTACGATGCCTAGCATGGCTACTTGGGAGTCTGTTTGGGTCTAGCACCAACACTCTCGAAGAACCAATAATCAGGTGTTGTACGTCCTCATCCCCTGCCGTCATAGTGTAAGAAGCATTCAAGACATCATAACTTATTGGAGAACCACAAAATAAAACTGGAGAGAATACTACGAAAGCATTGATCAAATTGTACGCAATACCAGATTATAATTTCCAATTACTTATCTTAGCTTTGGCTTCTACCTGAGAAAATGACTAGCATGGCTTGATTTTCGAATTTCCCTGGAAACATTAATTGCAGAGAGTAACGGTTTACAGACCCGTTATCCTTACTATATTGACGTCTACTGATCACACGAGTCGTGGTTGTTTCAACAGATGAGGCCTATGGCCATATTTATTCAGTGGTGACGTCAGTGTCCTTTGATGTTACGTTGCACTGTTTCTGCTTAATGTTTCCGCCGGAGTCGGCGTCTCTGTTGGGGGGAGTCTCCCCGCCTTTTTTCGTTCGATTGGGCACACCGCTTCGGGGCCTATCGCCGCACACTGCCCCTACCCCCACCAAAAAAAAAAAAAAGAATTAGAGCCTCCGGAGCCCATTTATCCGAGATAACCCCTCCCCACCATTAAGGAAGGTAAGTCCCGTCGTACCTCCTCGACCCAGTTAACTACTGAAATATCATCAACCGTCGTCTCGGCCATTTGCGTCCATGGTTCAATCCTCATTCCTCATGGCTGGTCACACCTGGGAGGGTGCTTCCCCACCTTTATCCCCACCTGTTGTCTGCTCGCCGGCAGCGGCCAGGGCGCGGCCGCATTTGTGTCACCATGGCTACACTGCTCCCGCAATCGCCCTGCCTGCCTCGTAAACTCCGGTGGGAACCACCGAAGGTTTCTCCGTAATCGTAGTGGTGGTAGCGACACTACTTGACAACGATCGTGCGGGGGGGTGAGCCATAAACATCACGCTTTAATAAATGTGTAGTGGTGGTCGTTTCAGTCCCTGAAACCAGTGTCGCGGGTTTCTCTGCGTACGCGAAAGGGTTACGGCACCAGCGATGTCTGGAACAGGCGGGGCAACCCGCCGACGAGTGCATGTTTGTGCCTTTAGTAAGAGGACGTACGGGTATATATTGGGGTTAACGGTACCCTTTAATTGATTGTACGTGTGACTGGTGTTTCAGTTAGGATTCTTTAGTGGTTTCCTAAATTAGCTAATCGTCTGGGATGGGGTCATCTCTGGGTCTCTGGCTGCTGGCTGGGGTCCCCGCGTCCTGCATGGTGCCCTCACACCCACACTTAAATATATTAAAGGCTGTGGTAAGAGATGCGAACTCGGTCTATCGCGTAAGCCGCATGAACGGCACCCCGCTCATTGGCGGACTAGCGAAGCCCGGACGGCGTTGTAGGAGCGGGTGGTGTCGACTTATGCATATAAGTGGGTTGAATCCGCCACATCTAGACTTCATCTGGTTTTATACCTAGTCTTACTGTGGCTGTATTCGGGACACCTTTCTTAGATAGGGTTACGTAATCATCACTATACACGACTATCGACTACCTTCTTCCCTCAAAGGCCCGGGCACCGTAACCAGAGCGTCGCCGCTTTATATGGGGCCACTCCCCACCACCAACGCCCTTTTGCCATTGATGACCCGCGACGTGAAAAACCACCTCCTCTTCGAGGTGGCCACCGAGGTCGCCCACAAGGTCGGCGGCATCTACTCGGTGCTCAAGCTGAAGGCGCCCATCACCGTCGCCGAATACCGGGAACGCTACACGCTCATTGGCCCCTGGCACCGCCAGCTGGCCCAGATTGAAGTGGAGGAGTTGCCCGTTACTGACCCCAAGATTAAAGCGGCATTGGCGTCGATGTCGGAGCGTGGTGTGCAGTGGTTGTACGGGAGATGGTTGATTGAAGGGGCGCCCCGGGTTTTGCTTTTTGATATTGGCTCGGTGAGTCACAATTTAAATGAGTGGAAACAGGACTTGTGGAACATTGCCGGTATCCCTACTCCCGACCACGACCTTGAGACGAACGACGCTATCCTTTTGGGTTACTTGGTGGCGTGGTTTTTGGGGGAATTGGTGTATAATGACCGCGAACGCGCGGTTATCGCCCACTGCCACGAATGGCTCGCCGGTGTGGCGCTTCCCTTGTGTCGTAAACGTCGTATTGACGTCACCACCATTTTTACCACTCACGCCACTTTATTAGGGCGCTACCTTTGTGCGGGGCTGACGGATTTCTACAATAATTTGGACAAGTTTGACGTTGACGTGGAAGCCGGTAAGCGGGGTATCTACCACCGTTACTGTATCGAACGCAGTGCTACTCACTCCGCCGACGTGTTCACCACGGTATCCCATATCACGGCCTACGAGCTGGAACACTTGCTTAAGCGTAAACCCGACGGGGTGTTGCCTAACGGGTTGAACGTCGTCAAATTCCAAGCAGTGCACGAGTTCCAAAACTTGCACCAGATCAAAAAGGAGAAAATCAACGAGTTTGTCCGCGGTCACTTTTACGGCAATTACGACTTTGACCTCGACAACACGTTGTATTTCTTCATTGCTGGCCGGTACGAGTTCAGAAATAAAGGGTGTGACTTCTTTATCGAGTCGTTAGCTCGTCTCAACCACCGGTTGAAGGAGGCTGGCTCTAAGACGACGGTGGTGGCGTTTATCATTATGCCCGGTAAGACTCACTCTTACACCGTGGAAACGTTAAAGGGTCAAGCGGTCATCAAACAGTTGGAGCTGACGATCGAAGAAGTGCAAAAGAAGGTTGGTGACCGGTTGTTTGAGCACTGTGCCCGCCACCCTAACCACCCGGATACCCCTGAAGTGCCGCTGATCGACGACTTGATCAAACCCGCTGACCGCGTGTTGCTTAAACGCCGTGTGTTTGCGTTGAAACGCGACGGTTTACCCCCCATCGTCACCCACAACATGGAAAACGACTCCACCGACCCCGTATTAAGTCAGATCCGCCGGGTGCAATTGTTCAACAAGCCCGAGGACCGCGTCAAGATCATCTTCCACCCCGAGTTCCTCAACGCCAACAACCCGATCTTGCTGTTGGACTACGACGAGTTTGTCCGTGGGTGCCACTTAGGGGTGTTCCCTTCGTACTATGAGCCGTGGGGTTACACCCCCGCCGAGTGTACGGTGATGGGGGTCCCCTCGATCACCACCAACTTGTCTGGGTTCGGGTGCTACATGGAAGACCTTATTGAGAACACCAGCGACTACGGTATCTACATTGTTGACCGTAGAATGAAGGCTGTCGACGAGCTGATCAACCAGTTGACCGACTACATGTTTGATTTTGCCAATAAGAACCGTCGTCAACGGATCAACCAGCGTAACCGTACCGAGCGGTTGCTGGACTTGTTGGACTGGAAGCGTATGGGCCTCGAATACATCAAGGCGCGCCAGTTGTCGCTTAAGCGGGCCTACCCGGATAAGTTCAAGAACGGTGCCAACCCCTTCGAAGAAGAGCTGGCGAAGTTGACGCGGCCGTTGCTGGTGCCGGGTTCCCCTTCGGCGGACCGGGCGTTGATGACTCCCGGTGACTTGGGGTCGTTGCTGGAAGCTCACGAGGGCCTCGACACCGAGGACTACATCCTGTTCAAATTGGGGCTGATGGGCGTCGACGACCAGGACGAAGAGGAACTGTACCCGTTGACGTTGCGCGGCACCCTGGTGCCCCCCGAACTGGCATAGATGCTCTCGTGAAAGAAAAACCAAGAATTATCGTAGAGTTTTCGATTATCCCCCTGCCAATCCCTTTCCATTCTCTCAAAAACTTATATTATACTGCATGACTAGGGGGTAACCACCTGTAGATGACAAACCGACTCGGTCTTACCGGGTGCGGCATCGATGCCACACTTGACACCATATCTGGTGGCGAGCTCCCTATCAGATCAGACCACCACAGAGCCCTTGATAATTGGTCGGCTAATGGGTATCCGTGGAGTTGCAATTCGCACCAAGGGGCACATGATCTATTATGGTAGAGTTTGGCATTGTGGTTCACGCCACACTGTGGCGCCAACTGATTAGACGACACGATATATAAGCACTCTCCCACCCTAAAAACCCGTACATTGATCACTCTAATTGGAGCATTGATCAATTGGACCATTGGCTTGAACTTCAATTAGTATTTGATTAAGAAGTCATCTTAACTGATCAAATTACTCGAAACTTGATCAATTGATTGATACTTACCGAAATTATGACAAAGGAGAGAAAGCCGCTTATTCTCAATGCGTTCCAGATCGGGGGGCTGGGTCTTCAAGCCCCAGGTCTTTGGAAACACCCTGACGACCGTTCCAGCGAATACACCAAATTGAAGTACTGGACGGACTTGGCTAAACTATTGGAAAAGGGCAAATTCAACGGATTATTCATCGCTGACGTCCTCGGCGGCTACGATGTCTATAATGGCCCGCAAAACTTCAATGCCGCCGCCGCCCTGGGCGCCCAGTTCCCTGTTAACGAGCCCAGTGCTCCCGTGACGGCAATGGCGGCGGTAACCGACCACTTGACGTTTGGCCTTACCTTTTCTACCATCGCCGAGCCCCCCTACCATTTGGCCCGCCGGTTAGCGACGTTAGACCATTTGACTGATGGTCGTGTCGGGTGGAATGTGGTGACGTCATACTTGGACTCGGCAGCACGCAACCTCCTCGACGGGGCCCAGTTGCCCCCCCACGATAAGCGGTATGCACGCGCCGAGGAGTACTTGCAGGTGGTGTACAAGCTCCTTGTCAGTTCGTGGAGAGACGATGCCGTGGTGTTGAAAGATGGTATTTACAGTGACCCTGAGCGTATTCGTTTGATTAACCACCAGGGTGAATTTTTCACGGTGCCAGGCCCTAATTTCACCGAACCGCTGCCGCAAAAATTGCCCTTGATCATCCAGGCAGGGCTGTCGAAACAGGGGCTAGAGTTTGCTGGAAAAAACGCCGAAGTGGTATTTCACGGTGGTCCCACTCCCGAGAAGCTTGGCGAGCGAATTAGGGAGCTGAAGGAGATCGCTAAAAAGTATGGTCGTGGCGACGATTTGAAGTTTTTGACGCTTATCACCATCATTTTGGGTGAAACCCACGAGGAAGCGGAACAGAAGTACCATGAGTACCGTAAGTACGGTGACGTCGAAGGCGCCAAGGCGTTGCTTTCAGGATGGACGGGTATTGACTTTGGTAAGTTCCCTCCTGACGAAGAAGTACGCAATGTTGAAGGGGAATCCAATGCTGGCTCTAGCCACGCTAAGGCGTTGGTGGATAACTGGCAAAAGCTTGGTCCTGGGGATCCTCCTGACGTGAAGAAGACGCCTAATTATGTGGGTAAGCAAATCACTATTGGTGGTATGGCACCAGTATTTTGGGGCACTGCCACTGAAGTTGCCGATGAAATTGAGCGCTGGGTCGACATCAGTGGTGTCGATGGGTTTAACATCACCTACGCCACGCTCCCGGGCTCTTATGAGGATATTGTCAAGTGGCTTATTCCAGAATTGCAACGGCGCAAATTGGTCTGGGACGACTACCCTGAGAAACCTCAAACATATAGGGAACAAGTGTTTGGTAGAAAGTTTGTCAACGAGAACCACCCGGCCTACGATTTGCGGTGGACTCCCGAGTATACTAAAGAAGAGTTCGAAGCGAAGTTGGCGAAATTGGAAGCTCAACAAGCGGCCAATGCTGACCAAACCCAGGCTGATCCAACTAAAGCTGATGCCGCTAAGGCTAGTGACCTGGTTAAGGAGCCAGCGAAAGCCGCCGCTTGATATGTATGAATCTATAAGCTAACACACAATTTGAGAAATATTGAGAAAATTCAGGTCAAACTACGGCTAAATACACATTAAGGAATGGCCTAGCATTAGTAGAACTCATTTCGGCTGTGATTTGTATGGTTTACACGTAGTGGTGCCTGAAAAACTACTAACGAAAAGAAACTAAGATTTTCGATTTTTTGAAATATCGCCAAGCTCATCGCCATTGTCAGCCTCCGAAATCACCCGTTCTTTCCTCTGCAGAGTGACCCGAGTGCGTGTTACGGAGGGAAATGTGGTTTCCTTGGGAGCTTCGTATAGCTAGCTGGTGCGGCTTAGTACCGTATAGTGTGAGTACAATCGTATAGCGCGCAGTAAGGGCAAACAGAATACCAGCCAGAATTGGACCCAGAGACCAGGAATCGTTGAATTGAGTGATGTGTGTGGTTTAATGAACCTCTATGAGTTGAATGTGCCCTTTTCCAATTGGAATTGAGGTCTTTTGGTTGAGTTATCACACTACGTCGATACGCACCCTTCGTATAGCTCTGGTTGAATGGTACACGGGGAAGACAATGGGTCACCCGCAGCGGTAGCGTGGAGACCTCGTCACACGACGATGACCGCTTCTACCCCTGCATTTGAATCTTCTATATAAAGGGAGAGTTTCTTTGCCTCCCATCGCCATCCATCTGCCCCACTCAAACAATGCCTCATTTATATGAGCATACCGAGGACAGATTCAGATCCACAAACAAGAACATGTCGACCGTGGATCTCATAAATAGCCTCAGGTCAGTAAGCAAGAACTTGGCGTTGGAGATGGCGTTGAAGCACCTGAACTGGGACTTGGGCGCCAACAACCGTGCCATCGACGATGACGTCAAGGAATACCTCTTCGGACAGGTCTATGTACTCGCTCCAGGCAAGCAGTTCAACTTCCAATTGATGAACTACGAGCTGTTCAACTGGCTCGTGCTCACCGACACCCAGTACCACCACCTTGTGCTCACAGGTTTCGACTGGCCGGTGGGGATCACCTTGATCGAAGGGGAGACCCACTCCAGCTGGCAGCAATACCACGATATGACTGAGGGGCACCGTTCAGCCACCATTGGCGCCATCCACCGCGAGTCTTCGTACTTCTACGAAGGGTGCTCTATCACTGGCAGCTCCACCTCGCGAAACGTCATTGGCATCGAAGGGCCAAAGATCTGGAGCTACCTCTACTGCAAATCGTACCTTGAGCGGCTAGTGTTGGACAACTACGCCGAAATGCCGGACCACAACTACCATATCGAAGTTGACAGCCTCCAGCTCAATGGGCGCCACCCAGGTATCGACAAGATCGTTAATCTCAGTTCGGTGAAGCAGTTGTCACTCATGACGACAGCAGCTAACCGCGACGACGGTATTTTCAAGCATGTGCACCAATTGACGCTGGTTACCGACTTGTGTGTCCTTAGCGGCAGTGGCAAGCATGGAACTGCCTACGGCTCTGCTGAGTACGAGAAGATCTGCGCAATTCCAGGGCCGGTTGAGCGGTTGGTGGTGGTTACCGACCAGCGCAACCCGTATGACTACACTACAGCGCTTAATATGGCGATGTCCTTCCCTAAACTTGTTTACCTTGAGGTGACACATCGGGTGGACTCCCTCTCGTGGCCACGTGTACGTACGAGCGAAATCGAGCGTGACAAGCACCAGCAGGAAGACGTCCTGGTGCTCAAGTTGCCGGCTTTGAAGAAGATCGTCTGGTACGAAAACCGCATTAGCACCGATGAGGAGTACACATTGGTGAAGTAAAAAAGTAATTAAATGAGTAATATAAGAGAGTAATATACAAAATAACTTACCAAGAGTTCGAACGGGAGAGTATAGCAGGTATTTTGTTTGCCTAAATCTTTACTCGCAGCTTATTCAAAGGTTAACCATGTTTCTTTCGCGGGGTTATCGGTGAGACCGTACACTGTTAAGTTGACGAAGTTTCGATGACTTAATAAATGACGAAAGTGACAAAACTTGACAATTCTTTGTCATTATCCTTACAACGTATTGTGAGTAGTGTCCATTAACTATAAAGTCCAATTAAACAATCACGCACAAGTCGAAGAAGCGGAAGTCCTTCTCGAGGGAGTAGTTGTCCTTGGGAGTTTGCGAGTTCGATTGAGTTTGTTGAGCAGCCATGGTTGAGTAGTGGGTGTAAGAGAGCAGGGAATGTGGGTATATATGGCGATTTGGTGGATTTCCCTCCATTGCCCAATTAGGCCGTGACAATGGGACTGAGTGGCACCTCAACCTCAATCAAGCAGTGACAATCAAATGTCAGTAGTAATACTAGGATATTCGTGTTCGGCGTTTTCCCTGCAGTCCCGGTATCAATACAAATTCTTCAGTTTACGCCGCTCTTCCTTCTATCTTAGAGATAAATCAATTCATGATGTTAAAGCCGTAACTAAGTACACGCCTAGAAGAGGGGAAGCTGGTGGTAGTCGGTGGCCGATAAGTGGCCGGCATAGTAGTCAGCGGCAACCTCTTCACTGATGACGATTGCCTCATTGATCAAGTCCTGGGGAATGCCCGAGCCACGGAACTTGTCGAGCACAAATCGCGTGTACTTGGCCCCCGCCTCTTGGTAAAATGGGACCTCTCCTTGTTCCACTTTGTCCAACATGCCCTTAATAACATTAAATTGATCGGGGCTAAGTCCCTGGAACCCGTAGCATACCTCACGGGCCCGGTGAACCAAGTCGCTGACCATTTCGGCCTTTCTTTGCGATTGTTCCTTGATACGCTGTTGCTTGTCAATTGGGTCCGTCATGGCAGCAAGCTCTTGGAATAACGCCTTTTCGTCGTTGTCAAATTCAATGGTTGCCTGTTTGTATAAGTCGTTAAGCTTTTCACGTTCTTCAGGGTTCATTTCCGGAATAGCATCCACGAATTCGACCATCTTCTTCAAAGTGGCAAAGATATTGAAAGCATCGTTAGCCTCGATTTCCTGACGGAGATTGTGCTTGAATTCCTGGTTTTCCTTGACGAATTCAGTCATGAGGCGACGCTGGTCGTCATTGTCAAGGCTTTCCAAGATCAGCTTGAACTTGTACGAGTTGCAAATGAGCGAGCCAATGATGACGTAGCGGTTAATGGGGTTGATGGGGGAGTTGGGATTGGGTGCCGTGAGCATAGTGTAGTAGAGATTGAGAAGCAATTGAGCAAGCTCATATACGGTTCAGTTTAAGCTTTGTCGGCTCATCTTCTACCCCCTTGTTTCGTGCATAGTTTAAGAAACTTCTATTAATGAGGAAGTCGTGAAAGGAATACAGACAGTGTCAGTTCAAATGACGTCAATTGGCAGTATGGAAGCTAGTTTTGATGAATTAAGCGTTCTTGATCCCCTAACTTCTCAATTGGTCTTGCGGGATTATCCCCAATAGTAGCTAATGTCAGCAGTCTAATTTTCAACCATTATTGGAACTAAGGAGCGGAAATTCTCTTTACTCAAAGAGCTACGGATAATTGTCCTATGGTTCAAAAGAAACGAGCTTTTTAGTATTTTGCGATTATTGTTACAAAGACTTTAAAAGAGATTCTTTAAGGCCCACCATCTTGATGATGATGGCAGACATGGTAGTACTGGCCATAAATCACATGGTGAATATAGGAACGCAAAACAAGTGTAATTTGGATGGCTTTTCCTCCAAGTTTGATTAGAATCTTACAACGATTTTGCACAAAACTCGGGAACGTTGAACTACTAATATAATTAGACTACCAAATGGCTGATAATTCCACAACATCCTTTCCTTTTCAATCTCTATTAGACTAAACCACTAGCACCCACTACTTAATGTCGAACACCGGCTTCAACTTCTTGATCAACAACCAGTCTTCTCTCAGCACGGTGTCGCGGAAGGCCGGGTCCTTCAACGTGTCGATCGACTTCCGCAGGATGAGCGAGTACAAGTTATCCAGCTCGTCGACGTGTCTCCCCCAAGTGGGTTGGGCCAGCGACGGGTTTTCCAATCTCATGGCCACACCCTGGGCGGTCTGGCCCTTCTTGACGGCGTCGGTGGGCTTGTGGGCCACTTCCAACGAGGTGACACGGCCCAACACCATGATGTTGGGCAGGCCAGTGGTGGGGTCCTTGCGCACGGCACAGATGGGGGTACCGATACGCAAAGTACCTTCGATGACGTCGACACCGATGATCATCGGGTTACGCTTGTTGATAATCTGGATGGTCTTGAGCACACACGGCATCACGGCGTATTCCATAAAGTCCTTACGACGTTGCTCGAGGAGCTTAGCCTGGTAGGCGGTGAAGGCGTCGAACAAGTGGTAGATGATATCGGCGTTGAAGATCTTGATGTTGTTCTCCTCGGCGTACTGCTCGGCCTCCTTGTCGACCTTGACGTCGAAACAGAGCATCACCGCGAGCTCGGGGGCCTTGTCCAACATGGTGACCGCCTTCATCACGTCTCTCTTGTAGACGGGACCCAAGCCGATCAGCATCACGGGGATCTTCATGTCTCTCAAGAAGTCCAACAAAGCTTCCAACGACCCCAACGTCAGCGCCTGGACGACGACACCCTTACCGGAGGAGTCGACCATGTCCAAGAGACCCGTCAAGTCGTCCATCACTTCTTCCATCATCTCTTCTTCATCGTCTTCAGGGCCCACGACCAAGAGACGGGAACCAGCGACGGCCTTTTCCAAGTCGTTGGCGGCAATCTTGACCCCGAGGGCGGCCTTGACTTCCTTGTGGTGGACGTATTCGGACTTGATTCTCAATTCTCTCGCCGGGGGAGGGGTAAGCAACGCTCTGATATTGGTGGCGATGGGCCCGTTAAGCCCGCAAAGCACCACTCGGTCCCCTTCGTGCAACACCCCGTTGGAAAGCACCACGTCGATGGTGTACCCGAACCCTTCGACGACCTTGACTTCCAAGATGGTGGCCTCGACCTTCAGCAAGTACATCAACTGTTTCAGCATTCTCTTCTGGGTCAACTCAAGCAACAACCAAAGCAAATCGGGGACCCCTTCCCCGGTGACGGCGGAGGTGGGGACGATCGACACGTACTTGGCCATGTTCTTGTTCTCGAAGTAGAGCTCGGAGTTGAGCCCTTGTTCCGCCAACTGGAGCTTGATCCCTTCCCACCGGTTGTGGAATTCTTGTTGCACTGATTGCGCCTGCTTGGCGAAGGTGTCTCTGAAGGCGGCGTTGGGGTGTTCTTGCCAGCCGTACAATCTGTCGATCTTGTTCAACGCGACGACAAAAGGAGCCTTTCTGTCTCTCAACAATCTGATGGACTCCAAGGTCTGTTGTTCCAACCCGTGCATGATGTCAATCACTAAAACAGCGATGTTACACAACAGCGACCCTCTCAGCCGCAAGTTAGTAAACGACTCGTGACCCGGGGTATCGATGATCAACAACCCGGGGACGTCGAACGTCTGGCGCTCGAAGGCGGCCATCACGGCGGTCTTGGTCTTGATGGCGTCCATGGGGAAGTAAGTGGCCCCGATCTGTTGGGTAATACCACCCGCTTCGCCCCCTTGGACGTTGGTGCGTCTCATGTTGTCCAAAAGCTTCGTTTTACCCGTGTCGACGTGACCCAAGATACAGCAGATGGGCGAGCGCATATCTTTATCGGAAGCACCACCAGAGGCCTGAGTACGCTTACGCAGAGCTTCTTCAAGGGCAGCCTTTTCTGCAGCAGCCCGTTCGGCAGCGGCTTTACGCTTGGCTTCTTCGGCAGCGCGAACGGCGGCTTCTTCCTCGGCCTTCTTCTTGGCGGCGGCGGCGGCCTTAGCCTCTTCCTCGGCCTTCTTGGTGGCAGCAGCGTCTTCTTCATCAAGAGCGGTTTCCCAGTCGTCGACGGCGGGTTCCTCGTCGTCGTCGTCGGCGAGGGCTTCCCACAGGTCGGCGAGCACGCCGTCGTCGTCGTTGTTCTTTTCCTTCGTCTTGTCTTCCTTGGTCTCGGCGGGCTTATTAGTGTGTTGCACCTTGTTGTGCAAGAACGCCTTCAGCTTGTTCAGCTTACCCTTGGAGTAGACGACCTTTTTCGGGGCAGCAGCGTCGTCTTCCTTGTCCTTTTGTAAGCCGGGGACGACGATGTTAGACGCCGCCAACAACGCTTCACGGCGCTTTTCCTGGAGACGCTTTTGTTCCTTTTGCTTCTTGGTCAAAAGCTTACCCTCAGCCTTCAACTGTTCCTTCTTCAACCGTTCCTTTTCCTTTTTGGCGGCGCGGGCGGCTTCCTGGGCGGCGGCTTCTTCCTGAGCCTTACGCTCTTCTTCAGCCTCACGAGCAGCTTCCTCTTCTTCCAACCGGCGCTGTTCTTCTTCCAATTGCTTTTTGAGCTCCAATTGCTTCTTCAACGCCGCTAACCCGGCGGGGGCCTTCTTCCCCTTCTTCGACTTGACAGTAGAAGTAGGCTTCTTTTCCCCCGCCCCGTCGCCGTTATCTTCGGGTTCGGGGGTGTTCTTGGCCAGGGCAGCCTGTTCGGCGTTCTTCTTGTTGGCTTCCTTGATTTCCTGCTTCTTTTCCGCCTGCTGTTGCTTCTTCTTCGCCGCCAACTCCTTCTTGGCCTGCTTTTCCGCCTCCTTCTTCAATTTCTCCTTTTCCTTTTTCAGCAACAATTTCGGGGCCCCCTTAGCTTCTTCAGCCTTCTTTTCGTCCTTCTTTTGCTTGTTTTTGGCGATCAACGACAAGAAGTCCTGTTCTTCCGGCGCCAGTTCTGGCTCCGGGGTGGCCTTAGCCAGCTCGCCCGCTTCGGGGGTGGCTTCGGCGCCGAACTCCTGGGCCTGGGGCTGCTCGCCCAAGTCCTCGTCGTCCCAGAAATCGCCTCCAGCGGGTCCCTTTTTCAGTTTCTTACCCATGGTGGTTGGTGTGAGGATTTTTTCACGATGGCGTGCGAAGTGGCAATAACCTAGCCAGCGAAGCCTAGCGAAGCAAATAGAGTATATTTAAGATAAATTAGTCAGCAAAATACTCAAATATTCATATGAAAATTTATAAGTGACGTTGGTGTTGCTAGGGTGTGGATGACATCTCGGGTACACCGCGTGGTGGGGTAGCGATGGCGGGTCGGTCGCGAGGTACTGGTTCGCACTCACACCATCAGTTACCTGTAGTAATTGCAAAGGGTGCACTCGTGCGAACAATAGCGAACGAGCGAACAAATCGTACGAGCTGTTATAAGGAGCTAGCAAACAGAGAAGGTAGAATTCAAGGCTTTGCAAAGTAAATGGACATTATTATGGTGACTGTGGTTCAAAAGGAGATCGATGATTGCTTAAGTTGTCGAGGAGTTTGTGAGAATTGGGCGGTTGTCAGACACTGTCGACGCTCTCCGAAACTTCCGTCATCGGTAGTGTCGGAATCGTCGATAGGGAACGACGCACACCACCAGTTACCTAGAACGCCATAAAAGTTGTGACCATTCACGGCTGCGGCGTGACCGCCCATAAAACAATACCCCACAGACGCTCAGTAAACAACAAACAGAAAGGGCTACCAGTGGCATTGATTCAACTGGCTAACGGGGGTAACAACTAAAGGGTAACGATTTTGGGGTAACGATTTTAGGGTAACAATTGAAGGGCAACAGTTACGTCGTTGCAGCACTGATGTTTCTCTTACATTGTGATTGCGATTACCTAATAAATTGTAGAACGTGCATACGCTCACAACCAAGAAAGCCAGATTCTCGGGAATCGTCCACGTTGGCGAGGCGCCACTCAGATCCCCCACCCTCCCCGTGGCCCTTAACCACAACAGCCATGGTCTCTGATAAGCAATTTGAAACATCCTATGGACGATCACGGGTGACCAGCTACCGATCTGACAATGCAGCGGCGCCTGACACCACCTAGACCCAACAAATTCGCCGCGTCGAAGACCGAATGACCCCAACTATAAAGGTAGACATTTCCACCAAATATCAAAGCTTTGGTGGTATTTCTAAAGCCAGTGTTGTTTCAGCCTTGGCTTGGCTTCGTCCGCTTTAGGTTGTTCACTTAAAATTTAAAGCCGGGTTCCCCCGTGGTCTAGCGTGGTCCATTGCTTTTAATAACTTTGACAGTTTCTCTCCTGCACATAGTCCGCGACCCCCCAAAGCCCATTTAAACGTGGCGTACCCTACCAACCTTCTATCAAGATCTACACCCACTCGTCGCAACCACGCCATCCCATGCTCTCCGTGTTGCTCTTCACTGCTCCCGTTGCTGCTAACTTCTTCAACTTTTTCGGAGGCCACCAGGCCCAGCACCAGCAACAGCCGCTGGGTTCCGTCAACAGCGCCCACGAACACGAGAACGTCGTCCTTAACTTAAAGTGCAATGGCTACGTGTGTCCCGATACCGGCATGTGTGTCAACGGTCCTAGCGAGTGCCCCTGTCCTTACCCGGGCTCCCAGTTGCGGTGTCCGTTGGAGAACGGCGACTATCTCTGTGTGCTGAAGCCGCCGATCGAGAACGTGTACGACGACGACGCCACCAACTGGCAGGTCGACGCTGGCGATAACGAGATCCGCGACTGTGGCTGGGTCAAGCGCGCGTTCAAAGGGTTATTGTGAGCTTTACGGTGGGGTGATGAATGTCCGCCAATTGTTACGAATTTTATATTTATACATTCTTGGGTTTATTTAATAGATGAATATGGTAATGAGTGCGTACTGCACATAAGCCTGGACCACCACCACCACTATTTAAGTATATGGCGATGGTGCGAATTTTTCTTTTCTTTCTTTAACACAAGGCCTCACCAGCTTGTCCCATCAACTACGGCGTTCACGTCCCCTTCGGAGGAAAGCCCGGTGGTGTACAAGCTGTGTGGGGCCGAGAGAGAAATACCATCTTTAAAACCATCGCCAATTAGGTCGCCGCTGGGATTTTATCCCGGGTCTGGCTGATCCATGAATCGGTGATGACCTGATGTATGGGACATACCACCTCTTCGTAGGCTCTCAAACCTTAAAAACACATCACAGACTTCAATAACGAGTAGTGGTTGACTAGAGAAGCTATCTTCTTTCATTATATCGACCACCATGTTTCAGGACCACTGTTACAGGACTCGTACTTGAAACAAAACACTCATGGCTACACCGTGTCCACTAACTTTAAATTCATTAACAATAGAAAACTAGAGACCGTTTTTTTCTCTTAAAAATTAATCGTATGCTCGTTACTATATATACCATTAGGCCTTGACCACGATGATCACCAGGTCCCCACGCAAAAACATTTTCAGCACAAACCGCTCGCGGTCGACCTCGCGGAGCTTCTTGCCCTGGTCGTTGCGCTCGACCTCGGTCCACAACTCCTTGACATTCTCCAAGATCATGTTGCAATGGCGGTCGAACGCCTTGACCCGCGCCACGAGCTTGTGGTTGTTGCGGCACAGCACCACCACCGGCAGCCCCAGCTTCACTGCCTGCGAGAGAAGCAGCATCGGCCCGTACTGGAACTCGTACTCCTCCACCTTCGCCAATTCGGCCTCGGTCAACTCCAGCCGCGGCCGGTCGACTAAGGGTTCAACACTCATAGGGTTAAGGTAGAGATGATGATGGGGTTAGTCCACTTTCGCACCGTGCGGCTCAAGTGAGTGAGACCTTAAAGTCACGTGACCGAAACCTCCTCTAGGCTAAAACACCATCAATTCTTTGGCGCAAAAGCCAAGGGAGCTGCCATTTGCAGGCCTTGGCGGACAATCGTCTCCACTCGATCCTTCAACGGTTTCAGTTTGCACGTCACCGCGAGCGTGTGCAAGTCGATCGTCGCCTCAAATTTCCCCATTTTGATATCGGCAGTATTATCATTAATCGTCAACGCGTCGCCAAACTGAGACCGCAATAACGCCACAATGCCGTCAAGTTGCAGTTCAGCCAGGTTATTGGCGTGGGAGTGGCTGTGGGAGCACAGTCCCAGCGAAAGTTTCACGGAGGCCGGCGACGAGTCCACCGAGTAGAGGATCGCCACCACCGAATCGGCGAGCGAATCAGCCATTAAGTTATCGTTGATCCATTCGACAACCACAAGCATCGCTGGCGCCGTCGTCTTGTCTGCCGTCACCACCACCATATCCATAATCACTGCTTCCCAAGTGGTCTCATTGTCGATAGCCACGGTGATATGGCCAAACATTTGTTCTAGATGCCATTGAATTAACAGCGTGTCGGCCTCAATTCTCAAGTTGAGTTTCAGCTTCACCATCAGCGTGCTTAAGTTGGTGTATTCGTGAAGATCTTGTAAGTTGAGAAGGTTCAAATCGAAGTCCTTGGCCACAAGCACACCGGTGACGGGCCCAGCATTGATCTTAAGCTCATCGAGATCTTCCTTTTTCACTGAGTCGGATTCTTCAGTCTTTACTGGTTCCGCTTGAGTCTTCACTGGATCGGCGGCTTCAGTCTTTACCGGTTCCGTTTCGGTCTTTACTGACGGTTCGTAGGAATCGTCTTCTTGCTTCATGGGCGTATCTTCATCATCCTCTTGTTTTATCGCAGTATCAGTGATTTCTTCAATCTTCAATCTAGCGTCATCATCCTCGGGTTCCTGTTTGACAAAGGGACCCACTTCTGATTCCACCACTGCTGAGACTCTCACAAGCTCTTCCTCGGCTAATTGGCCAAGTACTCGAGCCACTTTCAACCCCTTAATCTCAATTGCCACTTCCTCGCAGTTCTTGGGGTTATACACTTTGATTTCACGCTCAGAGTTCTTGCGCAGAGCGTATTTGGAGAGTAATGCCGACTTTAAGCGCCCCATGGGCACCGAGTCACCGTGGACCAAAATGATCTTCAGCGGCTGTACTTTATCGATGAAACCGGTATTCTCTTGGAAGTCAACGTGAGCAGCAAACGAGATCTCATCTACTTTAATATTACGGGCAATCAGGACATCAGGGTTGGATATCAGTGGAATTGTCGCTGGCTCCTTGATGATTTCTTTAGCCATGGTCCCCTCGACGGAGTAACCAGTTAAAATGCACAAATTCTTTGGGTCGGGCGCCCACCGTTCGAGTAATTGGCGTGATACCCCAGCCTGAAGCATACCGGGAGTAGCCACCATCACCAGGGGTCCAAAGTCGGTAAACCTCAGCAAGTCTTTAATCAATTTGACGTACTTAAAGTCAAAAGGGTTAGCACTGGCTCCGGTAGCCGTAAGCCTTATCAGATCATTCATAATCGAAGTATACGTTTGGTAGACGGCCATACACTTCTTGGCAAGCAGCGACGCAAAGTAGATGGGTATCCCTTGTAATTCAGAGTGGTGGCGCCAGTATTCATCGAGGATAAGCAATAATTCCTGGGCGTTACCAAGAGCGAAAACAGGTAAAAGTACACGACCACCACGGGCTAACGTGGCATGGATGGACTTGACCAACTTCGCTTCTAATTCCTTTCTCGGCTCAAGAGTCCCGGTACCAAATGTCAGTTCGCAAATGAGGACGTCGGGTCTTTGGGGAGGTACTTCCGCCGCGTGTAAATGGCGGTTTTCCGTACGCAGATAGTCACCGGTAAACAACACTTTAAGCCCACCAATCTCAATGAAATACATACACGCTCCCAACACGTGACCGGCGTGGTACGCGGTGAAACGGATACCATCGACTTCCAAAGTCAGGTGGTAGTCAACCGTCTCAATACCGTCGAGAGATCTCATAATATCGTCGTGAGAGTACAAGTTCAGCGGCTCGTCACTGCCTCCAGTGGCCCCTTGTCTGTCTCCACCAATCAGGGTCACAGACACGAAATCCTTAACCAACCACCGGTAAATAGCTTTAGTAGCATGGGTCATGAATACCTTCCCTTTGAAACGAGTGTGTTGCATCACATACGGAAGCGAAGCAGCGTGGTCCAAGTGGAAATGGGAAATCAACAAGATATCGACTTTACCCAAGTCGTACTCGTCGTAGAAGGGGAACAGCAGGTGGCCCGAGAGGGCAGGGTGGATGCCGGCGTCGAGCATGATCACCTTGTTTTTGTACTCGATGATGTGGCACAGCCGCCCCACCTCATTGCAGCCGCCAAGACCGAAAAACTTGAACTCGTCCGCCATGGAATTGGTGGAGTAATGGGAGGTTCAAGGAGTGGTGATGGTCCTCAGTAGTATGGGCCTAGTGACGATCTTAGCGCGCTCGTGTGTGGTAGTCACACGACCTTATTCCATCGCCATCGAGATTTGATTCTTGCAGCAACGGCGCGACTAGCGCCTTACTACGAGCGCCTTATTGCGAGCGCTAGCGCCATGAGACTCCATTTGCACAGCCACAACCCCGGCAAGCTCCGCACCGTGGTCCAATTGGTACTGAGCGTACGGAAACGGGCAGTGTTTCGGTTTCTGCCGCGAAACCTAGTGGTATTTACTCCTGACGGAAGAGCCGACGGCGAACCCCAAGTATGGTGCCAAATCAAGCTTAAGCTGGTGTTTGCCCATGCTGATATCCGCAGTTTAAGAGATAATGTTGTTGAGCTAGAATTGGTGGCGGACCAGGTGGCGCAGGTGTTGAAAATGTTCGATCAGGATATGGCGGCGCTGCTTTCGATCAAACTTGTGGCTGAGGCGAAAACGGCGCCGGCGGCGCTGGGCGCAGCGCTGGGAGCGCCATCAACGACTCTGCTGCTGTCAGGACTGCGGCTGAGGGCTAGTCTCTGCTTCAGCTACGCGGCGCCGCTGGCGGTGGGGAGCGACTTGACGCGTACGTTCAAAATACCCGTCAAAGTTTGTGGGCGCAATTCCCCTCTAGCCCGCTTGGAGCCGCCGCCGGTATCGCGCTACTCGCTGGCAGTGGAATTGGCGCCGGCGTTTATCCACACTTATAGCCGCTTAGAGAAGTTCAGAAAGCTGGGGGAAGCGCTCCAGATTTCTGTGGGCTCTGACGACCCCGGAATGGCATTTCGCCTTGAAGACGACGGCCGGTGTGTGGTGACTTTATGGTATAAGGATGAGCTTAAGCGCGTGAGTTTCGATCCGCAGGCGGACGACTTGCGCCACGCGGTGATCACCGGCGCTGATGGTGCGGGCGCCGAAGGCGCGGTGGCTAGTGTGAAGATTGGCGACTGGCTAGGCACGCGACGGGTACTCCTGGTGTGTCGGACCAATTTCCTCATGTTTGCCGGCCGCGATTGTGTCGTTCACCTGTGGCTTGACGACGATAACGACGACGTCGAAATTAAATATTACCTAAGCGGGTATAGATACGAATAGCATAATTAACGAAGAATAGAAAAAGAAAAATTAAACTAAGAATGGTGGTGTAAAGTTAAAAAGTATCGGCACAGACAGGGTTCGAACCTGCGCTCCACAAGGGAACTGGAACCTGCATCCAGCGTCTTAACCTCTCGACCACTGTACCTCTACAAAAATTTGAAAATTTCGGGGTAGTAGTATTCTGCAGGAAGGCAAACTGGAAAATCTCGCCCTGCGCTTCTAAAAATGGTACCATTGGATTTCTGGTCACACATTTAGTGGTCTAAGCTGTTCTTTTCATCAATTCCTTTGCAATTGCTCTCGTTGTGGTTACCACTAGCACCCACAAAAACGCGACGCGTCGGTGCCATCGCCGCTACCACTCACCACACACACCCCCCTCATGTCGATCGTCTCGCTTTTAGGCATCGAAGTGCTCAACAACCCGGCCAAGTTCACCGACCCTTACGAGTTTGAGATCACGTTTGAGTGTCTCGAACCCCTCAAAGAGGATTTGGAGTGGAAACTCACCTACGTGGGTTCGTCGTCATCGCTCGACCACGACCAGGAGCTCGATAGCATCTTGGTGGGTCCTGTCCCCGTGGGGATCAATAAGTTCTTATTTAAGGCTGATCCGCCGCTGCCCGAGTTGATTCCGGCGTCGGAATTGGTGTCGGTGACGGTGATCTTGCTCAGCTGTGCCTACGCCGAACGGGAGTTTGTGAGAGTGGGCTACTACGTCAATAACGAGTACGACCTGGAGGAATTGAGAGAAAACCCGCCGGCGAAGGTCCAGGTCGAACACGTGATGAGAAACATCCTCGCCGAGAAACCCCGGGTGACTCGGTTCAACATCGTTTGGGATAACGAAGCCGCGGAAGACCAGCCCGAAATCGTTGAAGAAGAAGAAGAAGAGGAGGAGGAGGAAGAAGACGAAGAAGACGAAGGAGAAGAAGATGATGATGAAGAAGACGACGACGAAGACGACGAAATGGCCGAAGAAGAGGATGACGAAGAAGGCGAAGAAGTCGACGTCGACGAGGAAATCGACTTGGAAAAGGAAGCCACCCCTAAGGATTAGCTTTTGGGTGTTTGACTATTTTTATTCTTGTTTTTATTTTGGGGCTGGTGTCCCCAGTGTACGATAATCTGACGATCCACGTAAACGTTGTAGAAACATCCGTGCATCAAACATCGGTGCTGGGATGGGGTGCGCGCATTTACCAACGACGACTCCACTTACCATCATAAATACCCAACCAACCAAACAACCACATGGGATGGTGCGCCATGAGCGAAAAGTGGTGGTGCGGCTTCTCCCTCCGACGCTAAAGGAAGCAGAGTTTTTCCAACAACTTTCCCGATACTACAAGGGTGACAAACAGGGGTACGCTCACTACTATGTTGAAGGAAAGCCCCAACAGGGAGTCTACGACCAGCCAGAATTCTCTCGATGCTACTTAAGGTTTAACTCTCAACCAGCACACGACGAGTTCATGGCCTCCGTGAGCCACCAGGTGTTCACCGAGCCGCTGACGGGGGATACCATGACCGCGGTCATCGACAACGCGTTGTACCATAAGATGCCGAGTGAGACGATTGTTAAGGGAAGTGGTGAAACTAATGACAATACCGAACTTAGTGGTGGTGTTGCCAGCCTCAATTTGGAGGGTTTGGTGCTGTTTGAGTCGCATCCGTTGTACCAACAATTCCTTCAAGACCCCGATAGATTTGATATAAAGCAACTAGCTGAGGACGAGCGGAAGGAGAAACTCAAGAGGAAACGGAAAAAGCTCCAGGAGAAGGCGAAAGCGAAGTTGAAAAAGAAGAAAGAGGAGTGGAAATTAAAGGCGAAACAGGCCGAACTTGCCAGGCTCCAGGAGACTGGGGAACCCATGGGGGAGACTCATAATCCTGCTAACGAGGATACTGCCACTTCCGCAAATGCTAAACGCAAACGCACACGCAAGAAGAAGAAGCCTGTTGATGGTAAACCGACGTCTTCGCCTCACGTTCCGACAGGTCCGGCGCCGGCAGTGTCGGAAACCAAACCGCGCCCGAAAAAACCCGCCCCGAAAAAGGCTGGTCCCAAGAAGAAGGCTAATCCCAATGCTAACCCACACCCTCCCCAAGCTAATGCTAACACGGCTAACACTCCTGGAGCTAAGCCGAAGCCGAAGCCCAAGCCCAAGAAGCCGAAGGCTAATGCGCCGCCTAACGCGCCGCCTCCTCAGTAACTACGAGTTCCCATCTTTTTTCCCTTTATACATATATTTTTAACAGAATCTATACCCGTGGACGTCCCCCATAACCTAGTGGTGTTCGTGGTGGGGCTTGGGGTAGCCCGAGATCAGTCTTCTGCCGATCATTTCCCCGACGGAGTAGAACGCGGCCAATTGCACCCCGTAGTAAGTGCCCTTGGCGATGGTGTCCTTAGTGGGCTTAATTTGAGCCACCTTTTGCAACCATTCCTTCTGCTGTTGAGGCGACTGCAACCACTTGAACGCCTTTTGGTACACCTGCTGGAACTGTTCCACCGAGGGGGGGTTCATCTGTTCCCGCTTCCACACGATCTTGCCGAGGTCAAAAGTGACTTTCGACCAGTAGACGGCGGCGTTGGTCAAGTGGGTGGTCTTGGCGATCAAGCCGGAAACGGCGGAGGAGGCCTTCAGAGCGGCAGACGACATTGTTGTTTGGTGCTGAGGATTGGTGGTAAGAATTTTCAATGGCGCGAACGCATCCGGGGAGCACGGGAGTGTGGGCCAATGAGAGAGCGAGAGCGTTAGTGCGACTTGCGAACATTTACCGTTACCAGTAAATAAATCGAACACCAGCTATTTCTATGGATTTTGGCTTTTAATTTTTGGAGTAGGTTTATCGTTTTGATTGTTGAAGTATGTTGTGGGAAGTGATGGATATTTTCGAGGTAGCTGATGTTTACTGAATTTTTCATTATCTGACTTAGGAATGTCAAGACTAGCGCTCTTAAGTAGATATAGTGAAGTTTCCAATCTTGGTTTGATTTGTTTCCTTGATATTATTTGTCATTGGTATGTTGTTGCGAGATCAAACATACGCTTCAAGTAACGTTTAGCCTGGGCTTAACGGCAAATGGTATGGCTGGAAAATTATCGTTAATGGGGGCATTGCCTCAAATACTACCTAGTTGAGTCAGGAATTTATAGAGAAGGCTAAGTAATGTTTACGGTGGCCTTATGGTACTCGTCCATTGCCCTCGTGTGAGTGTTTAGGACTCAAGGATTCTAGAATAGATGGCGTCGACAACAGAGCCCTCGATCTTTCATAAAGAATAAAAATTAGAGGGACTTTGCCTTATTCAGGATATCCTAAGACACGCTAGCTGCTCATCGCCTTCATTGACACTAGAAATTGATGGAATTGACTTCTGTATATTTTGACGATGTATTGATCAGAGAGAGTGATGAGAGACTGTGTTAGTTTGAAAACTAGTTTACGTGATGCTAAGTTTAACACAATTGGAAGTGAGGCTAAATTAGATACATCGCGAATTGCAGCTAAAATACCTAGAATTGATTTTACATTAATGAAACGTTGTATGCGAAGTCGTACTACCCGCAAGAGTCCTAGATCAAGGTGAAGCTGTACCACCTACGTCTAGTTCCATTGGAGGCCGGAGGGAGAACATAAAGAAAGTATTAATTACTCAATTGAACCTCTTGGTTCATCAAAGATAGGTACTTCATTGAGTCAAATGCTTTAGAGATCAGAGCGATAACTACTCCTGCTCGCAAGGGTGATTTACGATATTGAAGGGGATAAAAGAGAGATTGGCCTAGCTTCACGCAGGATGGGGTTACGCTAGATGGTAGACTCAAGGCCGCTAAAATATACTTGGGACCAGTGTCCTTGTCCCGATAAATCGCTTACCTAATAAGGCCTAATTGGTCTCGGCCTTAACTTCGGGGGGTCACCCCTGACTATACCCCAAGGGGACTCCTATTTAGCGTCGTTGGGAATTGCTTTTCTATAGTGGGTGGGTCATGCTGGTGCTGCCGGTGTATGCGGTGTCGGCGGCGGTGTCAGCGGTGACTGCGCTTTGCGTGGAGCGGCCACGGCCGTCAGCTGACGCTAGCATCAGCCAGGCCGCAACATCGGGGGTTGTCATGGTAACCCACCCTCGGATAATGCCACTCGCCACCACCAAACCCCGATAAAAAGACATGACCCTCCTCATCGCATCCACCATCACCGTCAAAAAATCTATGAAACGTGAGTCGGCCGATGCGGCTGGATGCGGGTTTAATATACCCCAAATCAAGGTAGAGTCTGGGGGCTTATCATCAGGTTTGCCTCAGGGCTTAGCCCAACCCAATTGATTGCAATGTCCTACCATTTATCACTGGGAGATACCCCTAAAGTGCTTGTTTCGACGTACATGTGTTTCATTTCGGCATGCGCTCGATGTACATCGAGTCGTATAGTGGGGGGCGGATAGAGTTTGATACACCGCTCGCTGGCGACGATGGCATGGCGACTCGGGGCGCTGGCTTGCTTC